TTTGGCAGTGCATCATCCTTGTTCCCGCTGCGAAACCCTCTTAAAAGAAACCATTTTCTGTGTGTTTGCGAGCCGCCTGCCGATTGGCTGTTATAAAAAGTTAATAGCCGTTCAAGTCCCCATCCCAATGGCTGGTCTTTGCGGAGTCGTGCTCCTGCGCAGTGCCAAGTATATAGGAAGCCGGATTACATAAGCGGAGCTACCATCCAACCACACACTAGAGCTGAGTACCTCAAACCCCGCACGTAACCCATTCCCCGCTGCCGGAGTGAATTTATAACGTGGGCCGCGACTGCCGTTGGCTTCTGTCCATTTATCTTTGGCTGGGTTTTCCTGGGTTTTTTTCAAGCTTCAGCACACGGGGTGGGGGACGCCCAAACCACAGAGACTACTTGCCCACAATGCCACCAATGGCAGTTACATTTTATGGCCAAAGTTCACCAGATTTTCACCCAACTCCTCCCGACCAAGTGGCGCCATTTTTGCCGCATTGTCATGGGCGAAAGGATGGGAGCACAACTGACAGGGAGTCTAGTTTATGCTTACGAGGACTTTTGGAGAAATAAACTTTTTCAGCAAAAATAATTTTTCCTCGAAGCGGGCGGATGATAAAAATAAAAATGAAGAAAGAAGACGATAAAGTTGGACAGTTAAAGAGAGAGAAGACTTTTTTCTATAAATTGATTTTTATTTTCAGTTTAAACAGTTCTATCGAGACTGGAATGGACAACATATATATAAAAACACACTTCGCTTCAATTGTTTTATAATTTATCAGTAGGTATATTAAGATTATTCAGTATAAAAACCTCCTTGCATCGAACAAAAACCTAGTGAGACAGAGTTCCATCCTCGATCAAAATTCTTACATAAATTCACTTTCAGGCTAAATAACAACAAAAGCTGGCTAAGGGCATTCTGTTGGGAGTCGAAATAGCGCGTGAAAATGTAAAGATTTCTATTTCTGTTGCCAATTTCAGTTCAATCAACCCTAAGGTATACGTTTTATTATAGAAAATTTACTATATTTACGGAATTTTCACATTTGTATTTTGTTTTACGCTTTTTATGTTTAGTTTTTTTTCTTTTTTTGGGTGGAATTATGTTTTCCCTTGTTTGTATATAGAAATATGTCTGCTGATATGCAGAGTTGAGAGAATGGAGTGAAACTTTAAACATGACTTTCTACAACGATAAAAAAACATCTTCTGGCTATTACTAGAGGGAAGTTTGTCTTGTGGCTTTGCATCATTTCTCCTTTGTATTGCGTGGCATTGTCATGAGGCCTATTCATTGTTCAAATTTCTTGTTTCTTGTGCTTTCATTTAATTAAGTAACGAATTCAATTTAGACTCGGGATCTGACTGATCAAGCAAAGCGTCGATAAGAAAAACCATCGGTGTACACATGCTACGCAGTAGTCTTAATCCTTCATTTCATCTAAACTAGTTGCTGCCTAGTGTCAGGTGTGTGGATGTTTTGTTGTGGTGTATGTTTGTGTGCTTGCTTGTTCCTGGCTACGATCCCCGAACTACGCTTTTCCTCTGGCCTAATAGAACTTTTTCGCCTGTGCTTCGCTGCGGTTTCTGCAATGGAAGGATATTAAATATTAGGTAAGTCAAAAAGAAATCTGTGGCGGCTACTCACTTGAAGATGTTGTAGATGAATACTAGCAGCAATTGCACCACGGTCACGCTTAGGAACAAAGTAACGCCCACACAGTTGCCAGTGGGACAATTGGCCACCTGCGCTGCGCCCTGTGGCGCTCCCAACCTGTAAAGTAAAGCGGAGAAAATTGTTATAGATATTTGAAATATATAAAAAAAGCTTTTAAGATATAATTTTGACTGTTTTTAGATATACTTTTAATATATAAAACAGGAAATTTGAGGTTGAAACTATAAAGATCTCTCGTAAATATAATACATCCTGATCATTTGAAGATTCGGAGTTAGAGAAAATCTTTTATAATTAAAAAATTATGGGTAAAGAATAATGAATATAAACTATAATTAGATTCAGTATTAATTTCTATGAATATAAGCTAATAAGCCATAAGATTAAGCTAATATTAGTGAAATTCCTGCAACTGATAATGATTTGTGTCTTAATTATATTACGTAAGGAATTATAAGTTATTTATAATCTGTTTAAATAGTAATTGTGTTATTGTTCGTCGAGGAATACTCAAAATAATTTAATATAAAATATATACAGTGTGTACTCGAATTCTGCAGCTAAAACTTAATAAAAAAAACTGCAAAAAAGTATCTATTGAAAACTTGTATAAGAAAGTTTAAAGCTAAACTATAATTTTAAACCAAACACTTTATTGTATTCCTTACCTCTGGCCCACGTGGGTGATGCCCTGCTTGACCTGGTTCATGCCGTCACGCATCTCGGCTATGAGCGTTTGCACATCATAGCCGGTGGACTGGATTTGGGCTGTGGGCGCGTGCTTCTGATTCGTTTGAATGTTATCAGTGCGCACATTGATATCGCCCACCAGCTGGCGTATCTCGCGGATCGAAGAGAGCAGCACATTCTGGTTGGTAAGCAGCAGATCCACATCGCTCCTGCTGACGGCTCCTACTGGCAACTGTTGCTGCACTCCGCCAGCAGCGGGCGCCTGCGGCACAGCCTGTCCAGTATTGCGTGAGACAAGCGACAAGGTGGTCTCCTGGCGGCCAATGATCTCGTCCACCTTGCGTGACAGCTCGCGCAGATGATCGGCAATCTGACTCTGACCCTGCCAGATCTGACGCAGCTCTCGCTGGTTCTCCGACTCGTAGAACTCCTCCCAATCCTCGTCGTCTTTGTGCTGTAAGTGAATTCGATTAGTGACGATTATCTCGGTGGCGCCGATAAGCCGTCTAGCTGGCCTGTGCTCTATCAGTGTTGGTGTCGTCGTGGCAGCCAACAACAACAGCACCGCTCACCTCGTCCGGATGCTCCTTCTTGTACTCCTGCTTCTGTTTCTCCAGCTTGTCCTGGTACTCCTTGTACTCCTGCGTCAGCTTCTCCTGGTTGTCCACCTTGGGCGGCTCCTGCAGCTGGCCGGCGGCGTGCAGCGACGTGGTCAGGAAGTGGAAAACATCGTGATCGTCGGCCAAGCCCCCGGTGGCAGCCGAGATGCCGAAGTAGCCGTTCTTGGGCAGATTAACGCCGTCGGCGCGCAGACACAGCTCGTAGTCGTCGTTGTTGTTGGTCATTCCGTTGTGGATGAGCACGGTGAGCACGTTGTTGTAGTACTCGATGCGCGCTCGCGTCGGGAAGGGCTTGTTGCGGAAATCGCGCAGACAGCCGCTCAGCAGCTGGGTGGTGCCATCATTGGCGTGGTCGTACAGCTTGGTTCCGTCGTTCAGCACGGCGCTGATGTAGGGATTGTTGTGCTTGTTGTCGTTGTCGAACGAATCGAAGATGATAGCCAGGCCGTTCCAGCGGTCCGAAGAACCAAACACCGGCCCATTGTAGTCACCCTTCTCCGTGGTGTACCAGAAGGCCAGGCCATCGGCTCCGATCCTGCCACGGCCTGTCACCCGGAAGACAATCTCCACGTCCCACCAGTCGAAGTTCGTCTGCGATTTTGTCCAGATGGCGCCCTTCTGCGAGCGCAGCGACGGCGCCACGCGCACACTCTCCGAGCTGGCGATGGCATCTGCAAAGGAACGGGAACGGACACCATCAGCCTGATGAGCAACAAGTTGTGGCAACACCATGAATCGTGGCTAAAATTAAAACCCAAACAAAGTGCCTGCGTGTACACTTTGCTGCTGGGTCGCCGCCGACGCGCGCCATCTCGCTCGCACTCGCGGCCGGCCAGCGGCAGCGAGTGGGCCAAAACAACTGACGTGGAGCTGCGCCGCGTCTACTTACTTCCCCCGTACTCCCAGAACGGCACGGTGCCGTCCTTTTGGGCCAGGTATGGCGGCTTGAACGAGTACTTGTACTCGAAGCGACGGTGGACGCCGACCGCCCCGGGACTCAGGTTGCCAGTCGCATGGGTCTGCCACGCCAGGATGCAGAAAATGGCCAGGAATTTGCAAAATGTTGGCAGCATCTCAAAATTTTAATTCGACAACTGCGCGGCAGTGTGACCGCGTCCTCTCCGATGAAATATACCAACCGGCCAAGGGATGTATACTAGAATGTAGCATTTGTTTGTTACTGAAAAATACCACTGATATACAACGTTTCCACTACGCAGTATTTTTTAGAGTTTTCATTTAAAATTAGCCGAACTCCAAATATGCAGGTAATTGTAAAAAATATTAGTTTTGAAACCCATCAATTGTCTTTTAAAGCAATATGTAGTTTATATAGCTTTAGATTCCTTTTTTTGCGGTATAATCTAGAAAAATACGTTTTTTTAATGACGTTGAGGTGGAAAAACATTTATTTTGGAAAATTTAAAAAGTGTTTACGTTCCGTTACAAAATAAACAAAACTGTAGCAAAATACGCGTCATTATGTGAGCTGGTGCACACTTACACGACTTACATACATATCATATCCATACATGTTTATCAATACATTTATTGTAAAATTATTTCGTTAGTTGTTTCAATTGCCTTTTGCGTGATATCACCAAAGTAGTAGTATTCCATCCGTTTCTCCAAAGTTCCTTTAGCACAGTGTGTATATGTTACTTCTAAATTTTTGGGTTTTTCGTTTTCAATTTTCCTTCATTTCCTGTTTGTAGTTGTCGTAGAGCTTACAGCTAGCATTATAATAGGTTTTACTGCCTCAGTAGCATATACAATATAGTGTGGGCTTTATAAAATATTGTTAGTGGCTCAGTTTAAGTGATAGCTTCGTGTGCAGATCCGAGTGCCAGTGTCAAGTGTTCTTTGCATCCTCCTTCTCAAGTCGCAGCATTTTACAAATCTGTTTTTAGTTACTTTACTCCTTTTTAAATCACAATCACTTTCGTGTGTTAGTTGTGTGTGCGCAAACTAAGAGGGAAAATAACTCAAAATAAAGAATACAAGTCAACTGAATGGGTTTTAGCTTGTTTATTACAAAATCATAATTAAACGAAGGGGCTACATGGCGTAGCGAATAATTAAATGATGCATGGGCGTGCGTGCAGTTCAATAATCTTTTCAATTCATTACAAATACGATAATAAATTAAGCTTAAATGGTTTTTTATGGATAGTTCTTTGAAGTCGTTAAGTACTGTCAGAAATCATAACAGTGGGGACAAGACATCTGTCTCAGCTATTGGCTTTTTTCGAATGTTAAACTCGCATAAAGTAATCGTGCGCGCACCTAAACTACAAATTACAAAAACTATATTTGTATACATATTCTACAATATATGTATATACCGTAATTGTTAGGTTCTGCTTTCAGTGTGTATACAAGATCAGTAATTACCGGATACCTTGACCGGGCTTCCAAATCCGGTCATTCATACACTCCATTCTCTGTTATTGTTTGTTTTTCGGCATCCATTTGGATTGGTGTCTTCCAATTCCAAGATCACTTTATATCCTAGGCAATCTTACATTTAATCGCGGGTATAAATCGATTCGAACGCAGTTCAGTGTTGCAAAAAATTAGGAACGAAAACGAGTTTTGTAGTTGTGTCTGTGTGTTTCATAAACTGGATAACAAATGCGTTTGCAAATAGGCGCCAGGGCTGTGTGTCTGTGTGGCCTTTAACTCTGTGGACTAAGGTGAACAACAATATAATCAAATTATACAAAAAATAATAATAATTCAAGGGGTCCTGTGACGGCCTGGCGGAAAGAAATGCAGTCAATATGCAAGATTCGCTGCAATTCACATAATACAATCTACAAGATTCGCTGCAGTTGGTTACAATTTCAGTTGTGTGTGTGTGCGATCAATGCGCGTGCTGGTAAGATCCAGCTCCGGCCGTTCCCGTAGTGCCGAACACGCTCATCAGATCGCCCTCGTAGAGGGCAATCAGTAGCATTATCCCCACTCCGCTCAGCATGCCCAAAATCTGCAGCAGAAACTGGCCCAGCGACTTGTGCGAGGCCGAGATCTCGGGCATCTGCAAGATGAACCAGAAAAAGTTAAAATCTATTGCTAAAGAACTGCTCCAACCACTTACCATGTCGACCAGGGCAATGTAGATGAACAGACCCGCTGCCACGGCAAACATCCATTGGGCGACGTCCTGCGACTGGCCAAAGGCAATGCCGAAGATCATGCCGATAAAGCTGAGGACGCCTGTTAACAAGTTGTAGTAGACGGCCGACTTCACGGACATGCCGGCCTTCATCAGGATGGCAAAGTCGCCCAGCTCGTGCGGTAGCTCGTGGCAGAATACAGCCAACGAGGTGGAGAAGCCACCGGCTATGTTCTCAGCAAAGGCTGCGCCTATGGCCATTCCGTCAGTGAAGTTGTGCAGCCCGTCGCCCATAATTATCATCCAGGCAACGGCGCTCAGCGTTTCCGGCGGCGAGTGGACGTGTCCGTGGCGATGGCTATGGCCATGGTGAGAGGACTCGTGTTCCCGCAGTATCACAGTCACATGATCGTTCCGCCCGTCCGTCTCCTTGGCGCTGTTCGTAGCATACACTGCATTACCGTCCAGATCGGTCACGATGGTGTTGTTGTCCTGCCCCTCCTGCTGCTGGTGGCTGTTGTGCTTGTGATTGTGGTGGTTCATCTCCACGCAGTTCGAGTGCAGCGTGGAGAGCAGGGACTCGGCGGCGGCGGCCATGTCGCCGGAGCCGTCATGATCGACCACACCGTTGCGGAGCTCCGAAGCGGAGGCAGCATCTCCGCCGGCACCTGCCGTCGTGCTCACGCCATCGCCGGGCAAATGCATCCACTCGCTCTGCTTGTTGTTCATGGTGATCTCGTCGTAGCAGTATGGATACGAACTGTACTTCTGCTTGCAGATCTTGTCCCCGGCCACCGAGTTGTTTACCGAAGAGTCGGGATCCCGCATCACCTTTGCCCGTGACGGCTTCTTCGTCTCCTTCTTCTCAACGCTCTTGCGCCACTCCGAGATCATGGTGAGCGCGTGCTCTGTGACGTAAAAGAAGATGATGCCGGCCAGGCAGCCCAGCCCCTTCATGATCATGCCCCGTTCATCCTGGCCTGCCAGTGACTATCAGCAAAAAGAAAAAGGAATTTAACGTTAGTCATGAGTGTCTAGGGAAAGCCGGGGGGAGGGAATTATCTCTACTCACATGGGGCAGCAAGTGCAGCAGGGCATCGCCGGTCATCGTACCCACGGCCAGTGACACCAGATACTGGATTATGTACTTGTAGTACCTGGAGCCCATAAACGGTATTATGGCCACTCCTACCAGGCCGAGTAGGCCGCAGGCAAACACCGAAATGAAGGCATAGACCCACACTGCAAAAAAAAAAAATTGGGATATATATTTAATGCTAAGTAAAAAAAGATGGCATCGAACTCACCGTAGAAGATGTCCTTGTCCTTCTCAGATTCCAGCAGCTTTTCCGTTGTGTCGATGTCGAAGAGAACCGCCGGCTCTATACAGCCGCCGCTCTGCGATTTCAGCTCATGCAGGAGAACGGGGCACAGGTGCAGGAGATCCTTTTCGCTGAGCGTAAAGTTCTGGGCCTTCTCGCCAAGCGGGTGGGTGTGGTTGTTAAGCAGGGATGTGCATGCGACATTGGAGTTGCTGCCATTATTGTTTAACGTGCAGTTGTTTAGCTGCTGCTCATGTTCGTGATCCTCCTCGTCCTCGTCGTGGTCATGATGGTGATCGTGAGGCTGGACATGGTGCACAAGGCGACTAGCTGGCACGCACTGTGGATGGAATAAAAAGAGTGATTACAATTAAGTTCGATTAATAGGAATTCCCAGAAGAGAGGCCAACTTACAGTTCCTTCTGTTCCCACTCCACTGACCAGCGATGGGAGACTGAGCTGCTGGAGTAGACCTTCGAAGCCGCTGCTGTCCATTTCCTTGCTCTGGACCATCAGCTTCTCCAGATAGTACTGGGTAAGCTGCGGGAGGCGGGAGTCGGAATCGCCATGGCCATGGTCGTGGCCAGCGTGGCGCTTTTGTCTCCTCGAGGGCGGGCTGATGCTGTAGTTGAGGGTGTCGTCGTCGCCAGCAACGGAACGTTGCTGCCGCCGATCGGTGGTTTCACTGGAGGGACTCGGGCTCTTGTAGACTCTGGCATTTAGCGGCAGCTCTTCACTGTGCACCATCACCATGGCCGGGCCCAAGAGGCTCTCGACATGATCCTGGCAGTGCAGGCGGTGTGCGCAGAGCAGGCACACCACACAAACAGCCATAATGTGACGCGCCATCTTCCAACGCGTCTGCTTCCGCTGCTTCCACTTGCACTCCTTCGACTAAGGTAAGAACTCTCTCTCAGACTCTCTCGTAGTTTCGGGCTTTTACTGTCCAGCGATCATTATATATCCGCCAGTCAGTTAGTCTTCAATTTGCGCGCCTATATGGATCTGAAATGGATCAACAAATTCAGCGGGTATTATTAAATAATGAAAACAAGTACAAGTACAGTGAGAACACCAACACATACAAGTCTGATCTGATTAAAAATGGCTTATGGAGCGCTCCACTGTCAGAACCTCGTCAACATCCCACATCCCACACTCACTGGGCCCGCGTTCCGCTGTGAGGCACTTACAAAAGCCAGTTACCCATACCCATACCCATTGCATAACCAAAATAGTCAGCGAACCAAAGCGGAAGTTCAAGATCGTTCGTTGGTGGATCGGATCGACACCTCCAAATATAGAGCCCAGCGACCGCAGACCACAAGCACAGAACAGCAGAGTGGATTCAGGTGGCCCAAGATCGCCATAAATGGGGAGTTTCGCTGCATTTGCTTGCGAGTGGTAAACAAAGACATGTTCTGTTTTTGGCAAGGGGGATATAGATCATTTCATACATTAATTACCAAGAGCAATCGAAAAAGTTTAAAGCAAAGATTAATTAGCTTTTATCTTCAATTTTTGTAATATTTAATTATTAAAATCGTATTATTTGTAGAAGGATCACTGCAATTAAATCCACTTTGAAGACTTTAGACTTTTATCAATTTGTTAAATTTCCTAAAACCGTCTTGCCTTAACATTCCTTTGTCTTATCAAATCATTTTACTTTTCAAATCACACAAAGTTTACAATCACATTTCGCTTTATCTATCTGATTATCAACAGTCATTTCTCTAATAGATAGATAGTAGTTACATAACTCTAACATCTTTACTACAATCAACTAACGGTGGTTAACTAGTTTCGGCTCCCGGTTGGGAGCTAAAGTCGCCAGCGATTCCATGCGGCTTCTTCGACGCGGTGACGGCGAATGGCACGCGCCAAAAGATTTCAGCAAGAAAATAGCTGCAATTTCCCACCACAAACTGAAAATTACTTTGTTATTGTTATCCGATGAGAGGATAGTGGTGGCTCTAACTACTTGTTGTTGCTAGAGTGGGCGCGCTTGGGACTCAGACAATTTTGCAATTGCGCATTAATGCCACAAACTTGGGCAGTTAGTTCAACGGTCCTGCATTGAAATCCAATTTATTGATAAAACTTTGGCGAAAATTTACGACACTGGCAAGTACTAGTCGTGGGCGGTTGGGTTGGTTAGGTGTTCGGTTATCGACTTAATAAAAGCGAAAGCCAAGCACAATAATAATAGAAACGTCATTGTTGGTTTGCATAAAGGCGGGAAAGTCGGGAAGGCAAGGTAAAGGAAGGAGCGTAGCGTCAAGGTCGCAGGAAGTGGGCGGCTGTCATTGCACCCGTGCCGTGGCATTGAGAAGGACACGCGTCGCCATCGCTCCTCAAGGTGAACAGGGGTTGAGTGTCAAAGGTTGAGGTTGGCTTTGCACTTGTTGAGGAAATTAACTGACATCGCTGCGCGGCAATAAAAATCAATCAGCGAGGCAACTTCTGATTATTATTCGCCTGCAATTTTTATTGGGCATTTTCCAAATTTATATTCCCTAAATCAGATCAGGCCCAATTCATCGGCAAATATTCCCAATCAATCCCGCAAACTGAGTCAATTGGTCAAGTGCTGCCGCCATTGACTGACTGACTGACTGCTTTCATTCGTATTTTAGTTTTTGTTATCTCTTTTTATACTTTGTTGTTTGTAATCAAGCCTCATTTAAATTCTGTTCGCGTGATTTTAATGAAATCACTGGGAGAAAAATGTTTAACGAGTTCGGTTTTATGTCGCCCCCAATGCTAAACTTGTCACTAAACTCAAATGGAGGAGGAGCAGGCATCAATTAAATTCACTTTCATTGATTATAAATGTTTTGTAAAACGTATAAATAGCACTGATTGAGGTCGTACCCTGTTCGAAGAACCCTTTTCACGTGAGATATGACACTGCCCCGAACCGATCCACGATACGAACCACTGGCGAGCTTTGCACACGATTCGCAACTGAGCGGCGCGCGTCGCTTGCGGTTCGATTTATAAGCCAGTTTCATAGTTGGTTGATTGACGGTACATAAATATGTATGTACATACATACGTCTACGTCTGTATACATGTTACAAACATCTTATATCGCTATGTAGACACATTAAAGCGTGCCCACATCGAGGGCGTGGCTGATCGCGGACCATGGCCAGAAACAAGCGATGCCAACACTTAGAATTTGTTCTTTTAGTTGCACTTTTCTTGAGTTCTTTGTAAAGATCCATGTAACTTTAAGTTCAAATTTAAATTGGAATATATTCGACACATTTAAAGTTAGCTCCGGATATTAGTTTTTCATAAATAGAATTATATATATGTTAATTATAAGTACGCTCATATTAAATTGTAATTCTTAAACCCACCAATTTCCATAACTACGATATTCTCTACAGCTTTGAGAATCGCAATAAGCCTGTTCTTTGTATATTTATAATTAACAAACAAATACAAATACTTTTCTTATAATTTTTTTTAAATATAAACAACATATTGTTATCAATTCCTAGGAAATACCCTATGCTATGGTTATTTGTATTGAGCAATCATTACATATACATACTTGATTATAAGCTTTAGCAGCTGATGTTAAAAATACACACACATATGTATACATAGAATAAATATATATAAAAACCATGACACATAAAAATAAATAATTCAAACACTAAAGCTACTGAACTTTGTAAAAATGTAAACTATTTTCTATTAAAAACTAATTTTTTCTGGCTTGTCGAATACCTTTTTCTGACTCAACGCAACTGAAATAGATTTCGCCGAGTTAGCAAGCCTATATTTCACGTAGTATCCCCCAGCCTAAACAATCAGTAACACAACTGTTTATTGCCTCAGGCTTAATGCTGAGGGAATGGAAATGTTTTTCGCATAAGATCTTATTCTCCTAGACTGAAATTTAATCCCTTATGTAAACTCTGAAATCTTCTGCCTCGATTCTTGGACAGATATATAATGGTACGCATAATATCAACAGGTTTAAATTTCAGGTGCTACCTCGTCTGGTAAAATGCCAGAATATTCTAGGGAAATCTTAGGTGACTCAATATTATTGTATTTTACATGGTATCTCGGGTTCGTTCTGTAAAATGTAGGTCCTTAAGGCATTTTTCTGTTATCGATATTAAGTGAATTATTTTATATTTGTTAGAACCCATTTGGGAATAGTTGGCATAATCAATCTTAATATGGCGTTTTCGCTGAGACTGAAATTGAGTGAACTCAAATTTCCAAGAACCCATTTCACAAAAAAGTTTAGCTTGCAGTATACAAATTCCCCTGATATCTCCAGCATTGAATTTCAGGCACAGCCCTTATTGTGCAAAATTGTGAAATTCAAACATACAACATGAGTATGTACTCTAGAAACTCAATGCTGAGTCACCATAATTGTATTTCACATGAAATCTCCAGTTCAGTCAACATAATGTTTATTCTGCGAAATCAAGTTGCGCGTGGCGTGGAATGAACTCAATTTTCAGTGAACCCATTTCGCATAAGAAGTAGTCGGCATAATCAAATTTCGCATGATATCTTCTATACGAAACAGAAGACAAGTGATAAATGGGCTAAATGAGTCAATAAATTGAAATAAATTTCACGTGATATCTCGATTGTTTATTCTATCAAATTTTAGCAAGCCATGCTCGCATCATAGCATTTCGCAGGCGATCGCTCAAAGTACAAATGATAAATGGGTTCATAGTGATGAGTCATCTAATCAAATTAAACATGATATCTCCACGTTTGGAACCTTGGGAACCTCTAGGGTCCTGACTCGACACTATTAAATATCACATATTATCTCCATTTAACGACCTAAAAAGTGGCTCGCTAAGCTCCTCATACGATTTATGTATATACCCTTATGTACCTTGGGCTGACGCAATCTTTACTGCGTCGGCCTTAAATTTCACACAGACATCTACACTCAAGATATACTCGCTACCTGCCAAGCAATTTATCTTTTACCTGTGAATTTCATGTTGAGAACTCCAGTCAAACAACCTGCGAAAGATACCGACTACTTACAAACGTACATATATATTTATGTATCCGTAAAAGGAACGCTAGCACGCACATATTTTTGCATTATCTTTGTTCATTTTCGGTGAGCCAGGTAATCGCTGGCCCAAAGCTTAATGTGAAATTTCAGTAAAGTTTTGTTTTTCGAGAGATACGAAAAGACTAAGACCCTAGGCCATGTGACTACCACATGGAAGCCCCGTTCTGGAGGGTTAAATGCTCAGCGCTTCCGCGCTTGAACCCCGACTTTGCAGAGGTCGATCACGTCGGAGCGTTACGGATCTGATCGACTCCGGGACGAGGCTCTGACCTTGCCACGCTCACCGACTGCTGAATTACGTGGCTTGACTCGGGATTTTAATATGCGACAGCGCGGGCAACGCGACTGACACATAACTGATGTTGAAGGGCTGGCCATAGGCGATAAATAATTCATTCGGGGGCATTGGAACGATAGTAGTCGTATCGTAGTAAACTAAAGAATTGTTTGTTTTCCGTATATCATCATCTCTGGTTACGGCGCCAGGTTGCAATCCGTTTGTAATTGCATATTGCACTCGGCAAGTGGACATAGTGCATTGCAAATTGCAGTGCCTCATGAATAATTGATTCGGCGGTGTGTGGTCAATGTAGAATTTGCCGGCCGATAAGGATACTTCTGCCAGTCAGCAGCATTATCTATGATTCACCGCCCGCCGCCTCCCACACGTCTGAAAATAACAACGTGAAGAGCAGCCAAAAGTGCGAAAGAAACACATGTTGATATATGGGTCAGTGGCGATAACAGTGGCGGCTTCAACGAGAGGGGCTGGTTTTCCTTTCTAAGCTCCCTGGTAATCTATATAAAAAAGGATTTATATCTCGATCATTTTCGAAAGAATTTCATAAATTATTCATCACAAAATATTTATAAATAATTCTTGTAAGAATAAAACTAATCAAAAACTATAAGACTACCTTAAAACAGCCTTGCTCTCAATTGGCTTCCTATATTTGGCTGAAAACAGTTTTGACCCCTCTTCCGAAAATAGCTCCGATAACCGCGCCACTGGACCACCACTATGTGCTACCAAATCCTCTGATTTTGCGTAATTAGGCTTCCAATGATAGCGAGTGGAAATAACATTCGAATTTGTGCTAAATTATGTATCAAAAATGTTCATTGAGTATGAGTATGTATGCTCTAAAATAGCATAAAAACGTGCTGAATGCTTGTGTAGTTACGTGTGCATGTTGCCCTGCCTGAGTGTGTGTGTGTGAGCGGGTGTCAAAATCACTCGCACATGGAAATTTACCGCTATAAATATAACACGAGTGGGCGGCATAAGGGGCAGGGGGCGGATGGGGGGCCCGTCGCATGCATTTCCAATACTTAATCCAAAACTATCACGAACGTCAGTAATTAATATAGCGACTTCTAACTCACCCGTGGATTTACCGGACTGTTTAGCACATCACACACACGCACACGGCTGTATTTATCAATTCACAGAGTTGGTGAAGCGCGGGGATGGGATGGATGATGCTGCTGCTCCGGCGGACTGCACAACCGTATGGAGCCAATGCGGTGGGCGTGAATTAGAGGCGCGGTCGCGATAGCGCCGAATGTCAATTACGTTTCAGATTAACAGATTAACACAGAAATCCGGAGCGGAGCGGCAAAATTCGCACGGACTGCAGACGTCGGACGCCACCAATACCAACACGGCCACAATTACGCAAGGGGCGGGCCAACTGTAAACATTCTCCGTACACGAGGGGGGTTAAACATATGCCGCCGCTGCCATCTCACTTTCGCACGCACCGCCAACACAAAAAATCCGCAACTTAACAAATTTTTTTTTATAATAATAGCAGGCTATCGATAGGTGGTGCGGTTAGACTGGCCGTTCACGGGATTTCAAACGACTTTTTGGTATTTTTTAATTCGATACTTTTACATACCGATAGGTTCCAAGCCATCGAACTACAGTTTATGGCCGTATGACACAGTAATTATTACGAAAAAATTAATTTACACAGAAAGAACTTAATTTTTTCCTAAATTCCCAATAGTTTTTCAGTTTAAGAAACCAGCAAACATAAATTCTCATAGCATTGCTAATGCATTAAAACTTGCATTACAAGTGCCATAAGTTTCCTGTTCGCACTTGTGTAAATACCTATAACAGAAAAAATTGTTGAATTTTTTTCTGTATATTCATTCCAACCTAATAAAAATAAATCATTGCAGAAAAAGAATTATTTAAGCAAAATAATTTAATTTAAATCAAATTAATAAAAAATTAAGGCCTCTATTTGTTATAAATATTAAATAATTGTTCGTCACTATCGATGAGCTTCTGGTATATTTTTCTTGTACATTCCTTGGTAATGCGGTCATACTGTATAGGATATATCAAGTAGCCGTCTCTTTTGTTATCACAATTCGATTTGTTAATCGGCAAAAAACAACAAAACCGGGTTAGTGCATTTGGTCTTTTTTTTTCTTCAAAAATGAGCGATACCGAGCATTTGACAACGGGTAAGTATAGTTAAACACCATCTCAAGATCGAGTTAACAACATAAGTTACCTGCAGGCTCACCCAAACCCGTATTTCCGGACGACGGCATCTTGAAATTGTACTCGATGCGCTTTTGCCCCTATGCACACCGCGTGCACTTGGTGCTGGACGCCAAAAAGATACCGTATCACTCTATTTATATCAATCTTCGCGAGAAGCCCGAATGGTTCCCGCAGGTTAGCAGTTCCTCAAAGGTACCAGCTCTAGAGCTGGTTGCCGAACCGAAAAATAGCGTGCTGATTGAGTCGCTGATTATTTGCGACTACCTGGATGAGAAGTACCCAGAGGTGGCACCGTTGTACCCCAAGGATCCGCTGAAGAAGGCCCAGGAAAAGATTCTCGTCGTCCGCTTTGACCAGTTCATCAATGCCTTCTACAAACTAGTACTCCACGACAATCCCGCCTCTCTGGGCGACACCGATCTGTATGCCGGCCTCGAAACATACGAGGAGGAGCTAAAGCAGCGCGGCACAGAGTTCTTTGGCGGCACCGCACCTGGTATGCTGGACTACATGATCTGGCCCTGGTGCGAGCGCTTTTCCGCCTTAAAATTCAGCTTTGGCGACCATTTCGATTTAAGTCCGGAGCGCTTTGGAACACTGGTGCGTTTAAGAAGTTTCTAAACCTATTCCTGACTTATTAAGACCTGTTTTGCAGCTTAAGTGGCGCGACTTGATGCTCAAGGATCGGGCTGTAAAGTGCTTCTATTTGGATGGAAAAATCCACGCCAAGTACATGGCATCTCGTCGTGCTGGCACTGCCGACTACAATATGCTCTAGTAAGTTTTTTACCTGTATAAATGCAAAACCTGTTTCATTATCTTTTTATTTTAGCCATGCCGCAAAGCGTGCAAGGTTGGAATAATCAGTATCAGGGGCAATATTGCACCAACACCCAGTTGTACATATGGAAAACCTATTGTGATAGCAAAATACATTTACTGGAGCTGCTTACCTTTTCTTGAAAACGAATATTTTTAACAAAAGCAATTGATTACGTTACATTTCCCTTTGCAATTTCTTTTAAAATATAATAAAATGTACATTGAAAAATCAAATAAAAGGTTAGCGATCGCATAATTAAATTTCAACGTCTTGGCATATCGCTTGGGATGTCGATAACGATAGGCACTTAATCGCAGCGCTGATGCTGTTATGACACTACTTCATTAATTGCGGTCTCATTAAAAATCGGGCAAAGCATAGGGTTTTACTTGAAAAAATTTGGTAAAATAATATGTTTTCAGAGACCGAGGTTCATCAGCAGCTAGCTGTATTAATTAATTTCGTGTTAATTATTAACTTTGTATGCATTACATAAAAAATAAATTTAAAATTAAAATTAAATATAAATGCAGGAAGACTTCGGCGAGGTCTTTAAAAAAGCATAGTTATAAATTGCGACCTTTGTAATTGTTTACATTTTTAAATCGTGTAAAGTAAGCTCTAATTAATGAGCCTGTGTCATACCAGCATAACATATCTTGAAAATAGCCATACAAAAAACGGCCAAAGTGACGCACACCTGCTAGTATAAAAGCGATTCCGAATTCCCATTTGCTTTACTCGTTTGAAAGCAGCGCTCTACACCATTTCTCGCCTTAAAAACTTTATTAAAATCGTCAACGGAATGGCCCTGCCGCAGAAGCACTTTAAACGAGGTGAGCAGCAGCGGGAGCACCTGAAGGTCACCGGGATAGTGACGGGGCAAATAGTTGGCCACTGATTCCATAGTTTTATCTGCAAGCATCACGGGGAGCGGAAATTCCGCGCCTAGCCTCGCAGATAGACATTTAATTTTGGCAGAGGAACAGTGGAAACTTTCCGTTAACGCTGACGTCAAAGCCCACTCATTCATGAACCACTCACGTCCATGCCCATTCCAACAGGTTCGCCCAAGCCGGAACTGCCGGAGGACGGCGTCCTGCGCTACTACACGATGCGCTTCTGCCCGTACTCGCAGCGCGTCGGCCTGGTGCTGGCCGCCAAGAAGATACCGCACCACACGGTGTACATCGATCTCAACGAGAAGCCGGAGTGGTACAGCGACTACAGTCCGCTGGGCAAGGTGCCGGCCATCCAGCTGCCCCATTTGCCGGGCCAGCCGGCCCTGGTGGAGTCGCTGGTGATCGCCGAGTACCTGGACGAGCAGTACCCCGGCGATGGGTCACTCTTCCCCAAGGATCCGCTACAGAAGGCGCTAGACCGAATCCTTATTGAGCGTCTGGCCCCGGCTGTCAGTGCCATCTACCCGGTGTTCTTCACCAAAGATCCTCCCGGAGATGCCATCAAGAACTTCGAGACGGCGCTGGATGTGTTCGAGCAAGAAATCACCAAGCGGGGCACTCCATATTTTGGCGGCGACAAGATCGCCATTGTGGATTACATGATCTGGCCCTGGTTCGAGAGATTCCCTGCCCTCCAGTACACCCTGGAGCCCAAGTACGAGCTGGACGCAAAGCGCTACGCTAATCTGCTCAAGTGGCGCAACCTAGTGGCCGAGGATGAGGCCGTCAAGGCCACGGCCCTGGATGCCCGCATCCATGCCAAGTTCATGCGCACGCGCCACGAGGCCAAGCCCAACTACGATGTTGCCTTCGAGCCCTTGTAGGAAGCGTAAGATGAAGTTCTGGCCAGGATTAGTCAGGAGGAATTAAGATACTTAAATTTGGATTGTGAAACCGCTTAGCGGGAGAAATTAAACATTAAACATACATATATATATATTTAAATACCTTTCGTTTGCACCTCCATCTGGGCCTGGGTTGGGCATATATATCTATTGATTATTCTCTGATTAAACATCTCGTCTTGGCATTGCAGGTTCCACCAGACCCGAGCTCCCCGAGGACGGCGTCCTGCGCTTCTTCTCCATGGGTTTCTGTCCCTTCAGCCACCGCGTTCACCTCCTGCTGACCCTTAAGAAGATCCCCCATCACAAGATCTACATCGACTTGATTGAGAAGCCGGAGTGGTACAACGACTTCAGCCCGCTGGGCAAGGTGCCTGCCGTGCAACTCACGCACCTGGAGGATCAGCCGACCCTCGTGGAATCGCTCGTCATTGCTGAGTACTTGGATGAGCAATATCCGAGCCCTCGTCTGTTCCCCACCGATCCGCTGCAGAAGGCGCTGGACAAGATTTTGATCGAACGCTTTGCGTCAGTGGTCAGCGCCGTTTACCCGGTACTGACATGCAATCCCAATGCACCTGCAGATGCTCTCAAGAAGTTTGAGAACGCCTTGGATGTGTTTGAACAGGAGCTAGCCAGGAGGGGAACTCCCTACTTGGCATCGTCGACTGCATGATCTGGCCGTGGTTCGAACGCTTTCCCAGCATGAAAATAAACACACCGCAAAAGTACGAGCTGGATGCCAAGAGGTTTGCCAAGCTGGTATGTAGGAAATCGACAACCTAGAGGAGATTTCCTAACCCAAGACCTTATCATCATTCTAGCTAAAGTGGCGCGATTTGGTGGCCCAAGACGAAGCCGTAAAGAAGACCGCTCTGGATGTTCAGCTGCATGCCGAGTTCCAGAAATCCAAGACCCTAGGAAAGCCCCAGTACGATATAGCCTTCAAGGGCCATCTGTAGGGTTGCCAAAATCAAAGCTCTGTGATAGTTTTTGGACTGCATTTAAGGGAATCGATCCGATCTATTTTATTTACTTCACGCTAAGTGTCCAAATAAACTGAGTGCTTAATCAGGCCTCCTTCACCAGCAAATTGTAGTTGGGCTGGCCGGCGCTGCGCGTGCGCAGAAACTCCGCCTGCACCTCGGCCTCCATGTAGAAGGCCATCACAGCCTGATCCCGCTTCATTCGCTCCAGCCACAGCGTCTGGTTGAAGATTTTCTTTAAGACCTGACTTAAGCATGGAGAAGATTTAACTCACCAGCCGCGGGAAGCGCTGCTCATCGTAGTTGTATTCTTCGCCCCGTTGCAGCTTCAGCAGCTCCAGGCGCTCGCACCACGGCCAGATCATGTAGTCTAGAATGCCCGTCTGCTCGCCTCCGAAGAACTCTGTCCCCCGACGGCTCAACTCCCGCTCGTAGGTGTCCAGACCGCTCCAGAAGGGCTCCAGTTCGCCGCCGTCCGAGGCCCTAAAGAAGGCACCCAGCACCGCTCCGAAGCGCTCGATCAGCAGCTTCTCCTGCACCTTCTTGAGGGGATCTCGCGGATAGAGTGGTCGCAACGGATACTGCTCGTCCAGGTACTCGCAGATCAGCAGCGACTCTGTAAGCACTGGCGGTCCGGGCTCGCGCACAATTTCCAGAGCCGGCACCTTGCCCTGTGGATTCTTGTCCAGCAGCCACTCGGGCTTCTCTGTGAGATTGATGTAGATGCTGTGGTACGGAATCTGCTTGGCGTCCAGCACTAGGTGCACACGCTGGGCGAACGGGCAGAAGCGCATGGAGTAGAGGCGCAGGATTCCGTCCTCGGGCACATCCGGCGTTGGAGAGCCTGCGGGTCGGGGATTATCTCTACTTCCTTCCGTTGATCTGAATATCCACACCTACCTTTAGCCAAATGCCTGCCGTTGCTCATGTTGTGCGTGCTCGGTTCTGGAGAAACAAGTGATGACAGTGGCTGCCAGCGGAGTGATATATAAAGAGCCGCTGGCTGCCCTTCGGCGGCGACTTCTGTTACCTGGCCTGAACTTGGCGGCCGGGCAACCTTTGCGGCTGACACACATAGCCAGCCGGATGGATACAGTGTTGCTTGTGGAGCTTTGGACTCTAAGATAGAAATTTTGTATACAACATTATGGGGTTCCGTGGATCAAGTGATAAAATATACTCTTTGCTGATATTTTTAACTTGCAGGAAATTCGATTCGGAAAAAGGAGATGGGAAAATAATTGGAAACAAGTCTAACAAGACTTTAAACAAGTTCAAGTTATCAATTATAATATTGCTTCTTCATCATAATGTAATAAATAGTTGAGAAGAAATATCCATGTTTTCTACTAGAGAATTCTTCAGGCTAACCTCTACTTTTCCATAACTTTTGGTTGTTTTCTAAATCAAATTACTTTGTAAAATATATTTATATTAACGGTCTAAAAACTATTAAACAGTATTTAGAGCACCATTGATTTAATATATTAAAAACAATTTCCAAAGTAGGCAATTATAGACCGAATATATTAAAAATTACGTCTTTCTCAGTTGTAAAAGTTTGTTGATACTTTTGGTTAGAGCTTTACTGAATTTGAAATCTATGGCTATTCTTATAAATAATATTAGAGAAAAACAAATATTTGTATTATTTTAGCCAATTTTTAAATACTTTTATTTGTTATTTTCTGTTTTTCTTTTTTAAGTTTTGTTTCCCATTTTTTCTTTTTTAATATTTTATTTTCTTACTTCATTTTAAAAACTTGAGTTGAAAAGTTGAGACTACATATTTGTTTGATCTAAGCCAGCAGATCGTAGCTGGCATTGCCGGCCTGGCGGCCACGCCAGAATTCTTGGTGCTGCTCGGGAGTGGCGTAGAAGCCCTTGACTGCCTCATCCTCCTTTAGAAGGAAAATCAACTGGGCCATCTTAGCGAATCGCTTCTCGTCAAAAGTGTAGTTGTCTTTTAGCAGATACTCAATTAATGCCAGGCGCTCTAGCCAGGGCCAGATCATGTAGTCCACGAAGCCAGGATTGTCGCCGCCGAAGAAGCTAGTACCACGCTTGGTCAGCTCCTCTTCGAAGATGTCGAGGGCAGTCCAGAAGTCATCCAGGCCAGTATTTTGCATTAATATCTTAATAAAGGCATTGGTGATACCGTTGAAGCGCTCTAGCAAAATCTTGTCCTGGGCCCGCTTCAGTGCGTCCTTGGACAGGAGCGGGTTTTGCGAATACTTGTCGTCCAAATACTCGGCAATGATCAGCGACTCGATGAGCGAGGGCTGGCCCTTTTCCGTCACCACATGCAGAGCAGGAACCTTCAGCAGCGGGCTCACCTCCCCCAGCCACTCCGGCTTCTCGATAGGATTGATGAATACGGTGTGGTAGTCCAGCTTCTTGGCATTCAGCATGAGATGGGCCCTGTGGGCATAGGGACAGAAGCGCATCGAGTAGAGACGAAGGACTCCATCATCGGGCAGAACGGGCTTGGCAGAGCCTAAAAAAAGTTCATTTATTAGTGAGACTTCCAGAAAGCCGATAAGCCAAACATTTAACTGATATTAACTAATTTTTAGGGGTTAATATTATGGTTAGTCTAACTTTGTTTTATATAGAAAAGACATGGAAAAGTGGATGAAATTGAAATCAATAGTATTGATCCATTTAAATATTCTTTAAATTAGGTTAATTCTTTGACAAGCAAGTCCTTGAGACTGTCTGTCGTTTTTCCCATCAAAATTATGAAAAAAAAATCCATATCCATATCCATATCGAAATATCCATAAAAATCCATTTGTTTGACTGGGGGGGACTTAATCTTCCAAGGAGTGCTAAAAAAATCGATACAGTTTTTGAATCTATGAAATATGATAATCTTTTTAATGGAATTAAAAACTATAGTTATTATAAAGTCATAAATTCGAAACTGGCCTTTCGACCACGATATGCAAATATCTATAGCAAACGTCAACGTTATAATGGGTTTTGTTTAGAATTTTTCATCATGCTCTCAATTATATTTTCAATTTCTGTTCTACCAATTACTTGTTTTATATTAATACTTTTTTCTCGTTCTTCTTTGTACTAAAATTTAAATTCTGACTGTCAAAATGTGTAAAATTACCGGGTGGAGTGTTGGGGAGCTAGTTTTGGTACCTTCTCTTACCATTGAGAACAGGTCCACTTCTCTTACCTTTGGCCAAATGCTTTCCAGAGCTCATAGTTACTGAAGCAAACGAGAAAAGTAAAATGCACTTAATAAACTCGACGTCGGAGTTGAGACTAATTTTTCTCTTAGACGGCACTCTGTATTTATAAAGCTCGTGAGTAATTGCACGAGCTTTTCAGAATATGACTTAGTTATTGCGGTTCTTCGATATCGCTTTTAAAAAACTATTTTTCATCGTAGTATTTATTTGAAATACTGAGACCGTTTTGTTCTATTTTTTGAATTTTTTTGGGTTTGGAAAGAAACCGTTTTTCTGCATTGTTTTACATGTTATACACAAATTTGCTGACTTCCATATGCCCACAATAGGAGCATAATTTAAAAAAAAAAACTTCCAAAAGTATTCAGTGGATTAAATTTTCAGTTTACAGGTGTAGAATTTTGTAGTATACTTTTGGTCCCAGCTTGTCTTGATTTTATACTGGTTCGTTATAATTAATCTGAAAAAGGCAAATATTTATATTTATTTAAGCAATTTTATATATTATTTTTATATTATATTTATATTCTCTTTTTTATTAATTTTTTAAATATTATTATTTTCTATAGTTTTCTTTTTGTTCATTTTTTTCAATTAAAATCTTCAGTTATAAAGTTGAGCCTAGACATTTAAGATTTTTGTCTAAGCCAGCAGATCGTAGCTGGCATTGCCGGCCTTGCGGGTGCGCCAGAATTCCTGGTGCTGCTCGGGAGTAGCGTAGAAGCCTTTGACCGCCTCATCCTCCTTCAGAAGGGTAATCAACTGGGCCACCTTAGGGAATCGCTTCTCATCGAAGTTGTAGTTGTCCTTCAGAACATACTCAATCACTGGCAGGCGCTCCAGCCAGGGCCAGATCATGTAGTCTACGAAGCCGGGCTTGTCACCGCCAAAGAAGCGAGTGCCCCGCTTGATCAGCTCCTGTTCGAAGATGTCCAGTGCAGTCCAGAAGTCATCTAGGCCGGTGTTTTGCAACAAGATCTTCATAAAGGCATTGGTTATGCCGTTGAAGCGCTCTAGCAAAATCTTGTCCTGGGCCCGCTTCAGTGCATCCTTGGGCAGGAGTGGGTTCTGCGGATACTTCTCGTCCAAATACTCGGCAATGATCAGCGACTCGATGAGCGAGGGCTGGCCCTTCTCCGCCACCACCTGCAGAGCAGGAACCTTCAGCAGCGGGCTCACCTCCACCAGCCACTCTGGCTTCTCGGTTAGATTTATGAATACGGTGTGGTAATCCACCTTTTTGGCATTCAGCACGAGATGGGCACGCTGGGCGTAGGGACAGAAGCGCATAGAGTAGAGACGGAGGACTCCATCATCGGGCAGAACGGGCTTGGCAGAGCCTGAAAATGTGCATTAATGAGTGGAATTTCCAGAAGCCGATAAGAGTTTCATAAACAACGCGGATCGAAAAAATATTCTTTGTGATTCGGCAAGAGCCTTATCTTTTCAGCAAACAGAGACCCCCTTCAGGACCTGTCTCTGTAAATACCATATAGCAAGTCATACGCTTAAGTTTGATAGAGCCAGACGCGATATGGCAAACATTTAACTGATATGTTATCATTTTTAACGGGTAAATATTATGGTTCGTCGATCTTTGTATTATAGTTCATGGATGAGTGGTGCAAATTGGAGTACGAAGATCTTTTCAATGATTCTCATTATTAAAAGTTGGTTAGCCCTTAAGCCATTAAAATGTTAAAATGTAACAACTTTAAAACTAAAAAAATAGAGCTACAAAAATCGATATACATATGTAGTTTTGTTATCCATGAAAAAATTGTCTAAAGCTATTTAAATACCATTTTTAAATGCAGTGAACTTTTGTTATTTTTCAACGAGTTGACATATGTATAGCATTTTTGTGTAGCATTTTTTAAATTTTTTAATAAATTTCGAAATCCGAGTTATTAAGAAGCCATTAAATCGAGACTGTTCCTTTACAAACGTCAAGGTTATAATTGATTTTTGTTAGCAGTCCCATCATGCTGTGATTCACACAAATTAATAATTTATAAAATTTCTGTTCTACCAATTACTTGTTTTTGTTTGTTTGTTTGCACTAAAAATCGAAGTTAATATGCAGAAATGTGTAAAATGGCCCGGCGGAATGTTGGGGAACTTGTTTTGGCTAAACAAATAGACTGATGAAACGAGCTCTTCCCTTACCACTGGACAGCACATCCACTTCTCTTACCTTTGGCCAAATGCTTTCCAGAGCTCATGGTTGTACGGAATTCAAGCGTAGGAGAAAATAAAATTCACTTAATTGTTGAAGCCAACTCGACGTTGGTGTTCAGACTAACTTTTCTCTTCGATGGCGCTCTGTATTTATAAAGCTAGCGAGCAATCGCACGAGCTTTTCGGAACATGACTCTTAGTTCTGGAGGCTCTTTGATATCGCCTTTAAAAACGATTTCTCATCGTAGTCGTTTATTTGGAATTAAAACGCTCTTGCTACATATTCGATTTGTTGGTTTGTTTTTTTTTGGGGAAGAAACAGTTTTCTTCGCGCATTGTTTTACAAGTTACATCTACTTAGTTTTTTAATAATCACGCCTGCTTGTAAATATATTTAGTATATAGTATATTGTATATTGTATTTGTTTTTACATGGTTGGGGAGAGTTTTTTAATTGAACTTCCAACTACTACACACACATCTAGAGATTTAAGTTTATAAACATTTCGCAAAAAGTTTCAATCGGCGGACTTTCAAATCGAACTTAATCTATGTACAAATACTTCTCGAAACTTCTGTATTGATGATTCCACATATATATAAAAAGAATATAAAAAACGTTCAACAAATTCGCTGACCGCATATGCCCGCGATAGGAGCATACGAAACACAGTAGTTATCAGTTATTACATTCAAAAATTAGCAGCAGGTGACAATGTTGGATAGTAGAAAGGGATGATTATTGTTTTTCGATGCACCTGAATAGTGATTCGTTATCAAAATCGAGAAATATCTCTGTCTCTCTGTTGGTCCTACGAATGGAATGGTTTCGGTTTTAATCAACAATAGATAAATAAAGGTATTTTAAGGGAATCAGAGCTACGTTTGAGTTTAAATTTTACAATGTCCTGCAGGGAAAATGATTTCAGTTATCCTCCTTCGTATCAATTGCGCGCTGGTACAGTAATTACATGTTGGTTTACTGGGGAATAATATGGCTAAAACTAGGTACATCCATACATTTAAAAAAAAAACACTCTACACAGTTGAGTTAAATCTTGTTTTCCTTTCGTTTTCGAAAAAGGTGTCCCTTACACTTAGGTTTGTTTTGTTTTTGTTTTGCATCGTTGCCTGACGATTCCGATTCTAAGAGTTTCGTTTACAGTTTCGTTAATTTTTTTGCGATTTTTGTATTTTGCTTGTTGCTCTCTATAAAATATGCAAACTGGTTGCATTTTGATCACGGTTCTTGCTGTTGCCTTAAAAACATCCTCCTTGTTTTTGATTACGACTGGAACGACTTGAATTTATCGAACAAAATGGTGTCTTGATGTGGCTCACTGTGCCCCTTTGATCCCGGGATCGTGTGGCGAGTGTTGGTGGTGCTGGTGGTCATCCTTAGGAGCTCGATGATGAGGTGGCGGCTGCCTCTGAAGGTCCCGGAGAGGTGGAGGTTGCAGCTGAAGCTGCCACATCGACGTTGTTGCTCCTGTTGAGCAGCATCGACCGCGTGGGGTTGGTGGTGGAGCTGGGATACTTTGGCTGCATTTGGCTGGTGGACACTGTGGAAGAGCTGCTGGTGGCCGGCTGCTGCTGCTGCTGCTGCTGCTGCTGGCTGCAAATGAACAGAGTTCATCAGAGTGCCTTAGGTGACCTTAGGACACACACCCCTTCTGCTCGCCATCCTTCTTGCTGTTGAACATGGCCAGCTCGATCTCGGTGTGCTGGCTGTTCATGTGGCGCACCCACTCCGCGGGCGTTTCGAAGGCACTGTGGGGGTGGATGAGAATTATTAACGGAATTCTTCGGGAAACGTTCTCTGGAATCAACTTACGTGGAGCACAAATCGCAGAGCAGCGTGACATGATCGTGATCCATGTTGTTTTCTTGTTGCTGCAAAAGGGAGTAATATAAGGTTCAAGTTATAAAATGACGGCTTACTATATAAATTTTATTAAACTCTGATGACTATAATTATTAGTAACAATAACATTAAAATTTCTTATACCAGCAATCACTTGAGATCCCTTTTAAAAGGTGGCAAGTTTTGGACAGCTTTATAAGAAATTCTTATTGTTTCTGTAGACTCACCGAGACGCGGCGTCGCTTCTTTGGCACATAGGTTTTCAAGGCTCTCAGGGCGAGATTGCTAGAGTTTCCGGAGGCGCTCGGAGCACTGCCACTGGCACTGGGCCCCAGCAAATTGGACCCCGCTCCGCCCGCCGGATCGCTGGCATGGGTACCCAGATGTCGTACCAACATCTTGGTGTCCTCAAATGACTTCTGGCAGATCTCGCAAACCAGCAGTTGCTTGAAGTTGTTATAGTCGCGCAGCGTGTGCTCCTCGGAGTCCTCTGAGGGCGTGCCCCTATCCCGGTTCACCTCCATCTTAACGGCGCTTATCTTGAAGTCCAGCGGCTGTTTTGGCGACACCAGCGGGCCCTCCTCGAGGTTGTTGTTGTTGGCACTGGACGCATTGGGTGGGTTTGTGCTCCAGTCGGTCGGCTCCTGCTTAATGGTGAGGAAGTTGTGGCCATGTCGATGGGTTGGCGGCGCCTGTTGAGGTGGTGCTGGTGGTGGTGGTGGGGTGGCAGCCAGACGGGAGGGCACCACGTGCTCGAAATGTGGCGGTGGTGCCTCGTAGTAGTCGCGAGCTTTCGGAGATTGCAAAATTATATTAGTATTTGATAAGGTTATAGATTATATAGACTCACATCTCTCGCAGGCACTTTCCCTTCGAAGACGTCGCTCGAAGACCAGCCCCACCTCGTTACGCTCGCGCAACGCCTGCTCCTCGTACTCCGTGCGCCGCAAACTGGTCTCCGATTGCTCCGTGCTGGGGCCAGGGGCCATGGGACAACTGCTGCAACCCACCTCCGTGCATATGGATATGGGCTGGGAGGCTGAGGCACCTGCTGCTATAGTTCCTCCACCACCGCCGCCGCCACCGGCGGTTGTCGACGATGAAGTTGGAGGCGGTGGATGTGCTTGCGGCTCCACTTGCCCGGGGCCCGCAAAGCAGCACTTGTCCTCCGGATCGATGGCCACCTCCTTGTTGACCGAGATGCCCAGCTTGCTGCTGCTGGCCACTGTGAGGAGGCCTGTGTGGGCAGCCATCTTTGGTGACTTGATGATCACGGGACTGTCCTTGGGCATCACGGAGGCGCCCAGTCCGCGGAACTGCTGCTGCTGATGGTGGTGACTCAGGTGGTTGTGGTGTGACGACAGGTGGTGGTGGTGTTCCAGTGCAAAGCGTGTGGATCCTCCCGGTTTGCTGGAATAATGATCTGAAATGGGCGGCGGCGGTGGAGGAGGCGGCAGGGCAGCAGAACGCGTGCCATTCGACATGTACATGGCGCTCGCCTCCCGCGAGTGCAGGTGCCCGCCCAGGGTGTGGTGCGAGGTGGACACGACGGAGCCGCCGCCGTTGGAAGCGCTGGTGCGGCACAGGCCGCGGATCTTAAGAATCTCGCCGCCACGCAGCACCTCGTTGAGTATATCGTTGGAAACTGTGGCCTCGCCGCTGTACATGTACTGCACCAGGATCTGAATGGCCCGATGGCTGAGATCTGGCGGCAGGACGACGTACAGCACGCCATTAGGAGCGGTAATCGGTGCTGTTTCGAACATGGTGGCAAAAAACTGAGACGAAGCACTCAGGATGAACTTGTGGGCCGAGATGCCAACCGTGGGTATGTCCGAGGGGATGCCGCTGCTGTTGTAGGAGCTGTAAAGGACCACATCGGCAAACTTTTCATTTCTGGAAAGAAATTACACCGTTAGTTTATTGAATTGTTGTATGTACATATTTTATATATTTTAAGTATTTGCGTTTGTTTTACTTTATATTTTATGACTAAAATATCAAAAATTATTAAAATCAAAGCTTAACGGAGCGCATAAGCTCATAAATACAAATATAACAATTTTTCTTAAAACTTAAGGTTATTAAATAATAATTAAAACACAACTAGGGAAACATTTGCACTTTCTATGGTAAATAAAAACTAAAATTAATATTTATAATCTTTCAAAAATATGCCTATAAGCAGAATTTAAAGAATCTTGCATTCCAAATTTTAAGTTTTATACCTTTGGCGAATTAAAAAAATTGTATTCACTATTAAATAAAAAATTAAATTATTTAATTCATGTGTTTATACTCACTTGTATAGCGTTGCAATGGAAGAGTTTAGATAGGACAGGTGGGAGTCCCACTTGAGGTGATAGTTTTCGGCGGCCATCTCTGCGGCGGACAGCGCCTGGTCAATGAGAAAATCAATAAATAAATCAATAAGTGCCGCCAGACTGTGAAGTAACAGATACAAACAATGTTTAAATGCTTGAACATGTGTACATTTATCCCTGAAGAAGACATAAATATGTTTATCCACATACATACATACTAAACATATATATCCTATTAAAGCTATAGAATAATTAAGTACTATGAAGAAATTCAAAATCTATTTATTGCTGGATGCAAAACTGCCATATACTTTTATTTATTGGTCAATTAATTTTAAATAAAATATTTTACAGATTTCTAACGGATAGATTGTATGATTTTTTTATATTATTTTAAGTAAATATATACAGATTGGCAAACTTTAGTAGTTTAGATATAAAATTGAGCCAAATTATTTTTTTATATTTTTTTTTTTTCGGAAGGGTATTAAAACTTCGGCTGACGGAACGTATCCTTTTCTCTAGTTTATTTTAGTATTTTTCCTAAAGCTTGATGGCAAGTTCTAATGGTAGAGCAACGGTCACTCTAAAGTCTTGTTTACTCACAACATAAATCTTTATTGAACATTTTTCTTTGATTCTTTTCAATTTATATTAGTGAAATGTGGGACTTTAACATACGCCTAATTGAGCTGGTCCGCGCCAATCCCAATCTCTACGAGCGGGAACTGCGGAGCACGCCCTACGACACGAATAAGAAGCGGAAGACGGAAATCTGGCGCAGCATTTCCGCTTCTCTGAAAACGGATGGTAAACAATTGAGTTTTTTTTTATTTCCTCAAATTCCCAATGTACTTTCGGTTAGTTAATACCTGCATTAGCACATGGAATCATCTGGTGGCCAAGCTGCGTCGGGAGTCTGAGAAAGAGAAGGCGGGAGGCGCTGGCTCCGATTGGAGTCTTCTGCCCCACATGCGCTTCCTGCAGCAGCCGCACCATGCCGGAAACCACCGCAGTGTAGTAGACACTAATTGGCAGTCTCTGAAACCCCAGTCGCCCATTGAGGAGGTCCACAACGAGGAGGATCCGTTACAAGAGGCCATGGATGAGCAGTTGGCCAGTGCAGGAGCAGCAGCACCGGCACAGCCGCTTCCACCAGCGGCTAATCATGCCCCAGCAGCACCACCTCCAACCGCTGCCCCAGTGAGCGCAGAACTGCTAAAGCGGATTGAGGCGCTGCTCGAGGGATTGGGGGATGCGAACCGGGTCAAGGCGGAGAAAAGGATTCTGGCCTATCTCTGCAAATGTAACCTGCGCGCCCTCAACGAAGAGCAAATTGATGATATAATTATTTAGTGAGGTAATAACTGCAATGGTGTTCAGGAGCGTTAATTCACTATCATTTACAAAGTTGTTTTTACTTAATTTCGATATTTTAAATGTAATTTATTTTAGGTTTAAAGACATCTTTGTACATTTAGCATTTCTAATAATTACATTCAATAAGAAACTTTAGTTGGAACTGCACAAAATGTTATATACAAGAAATACGTTTCGTTACTTGAAAATTAATCAATTTTAAAAGAGTTAGCTTGTTAAAATTTCATAAATTAGAAAAAATATTGCCACTACTGTCTAAGATTTTACCTTGAAAAATATATACTTTATTAACGTTTCCAATGTCTAAATCGAACAAAAGGTTCATTAAAATTAAACAAAGAATATTTGTGATTGTAAACCTTAGCAAATGTTTTTGTTATAAGCTAATTTATATTTCATTTCAAATAAATAGCTGAAACAACATTAAAACAAATGAGTTGTTCTCTAATTCTCTAAAAAAAACTTCAAGTATTAATAGTTTAGTTTTTCCAATATTTAATTTGATTCCAAGAATTAAAACTTATCAATTAAACCGGATGTAATGTTATAATGTCAGGAGCTACAACACATCTGAAGGCACAAATCCATTGGCTTAGCTGGATGGATGGACTGGCGCGGGGCAGGCGACAGAAAATCGAATTTAGCCACGCCAAAAACTCCTACTATATATGACGCAGCAGCTGCTGCTAGTGCTGCTGGTAACTGGTCAAAAAAAGAAGAGTCAAAGAGTGCGCGCGCAAGCAATAACATGTCCAATATCCACGTCTGGATCGGCTTCGGCGGGGAGGCGGGCGGGCGACGACGCCAAAACAAGCATTTAGTTTATTAATTTGAGGACTCCCAAAGGGGGGAACAAAAACATAACGAGCGAGGAGCAGAGCAGAGCGGAGCGTCGTGCACCCTTAACGACTGCCGCCACCCCGAAAATCACCCCGATCTCCGACTGCCGAGCACCGAGCACCGCCGCCTCCCCTGACGCACCTCAACTAAGCCCACTATACATGAACTACTCCTACGGCCAGCCAGCCAGCAAGCAAGCCACCTTCCCAACCTTCCCCATTCGCGCGCGGACCCTTCCTTCTCTTGGTATTAACACCGTATTATCGATTGATTTCGGGCACAAGCACAATCACAAGCACACACAACAAAAATCGATAAGCTTGGCCGAAGCCAAAATCAAAAATATTGTACAGTTCGGGGCTTGGCAGGGTAAGTTCAATGCTCACTCACTTTTAATTACTGGCAACTGCTCGGCCGTGAATTGTGCTTACGGCTAAATAAATGGCTTATTCAAAATACGCGCCCAAAAGCGCTGCACACATCTAAGAGCTAAATTCACCTTGGCTCGGCTCTCTCCTCCTGGATGTTAAGGCTCGGCTATAGCGGGTTGGATGCACTGGTTGATTCGAGTCTCGGGGACTTGGCGGAACCGCAAATGTTAGTTAGTTGGGTTTAGTTAATCATTGGCCACTGCCCTCCATTGAGAACGCCGAGGAAACCGTCCGACTTGGTGGACTGTGTGAGCTGTGAACTGGGGGAAAACTGCGCGGCGCGTCGTTGCGAGCTTTCGCGTTGCTTACCACCGAACGAATGAAATCGCAGTCGCCCCAGAAGGCACAGGACCAAAAGGACTCTCCTTCCAGCTGGCGAGAGAGACCAGAGAGAGTGAATGGGAGCTACCGAGACAGAGAGCGAGAGAGAGAGCAGCCCTCGTCGTCCTCACGTGCGCATTGTTATTGTTGTGGTTGGTTTGAAGTTGGGATACGACGAAGCGCGCGTAAAATTGATTTCCCCGAGAATATTGATTTTTGGCTTCGGTCGTCGGTCCTGCACTTAGTTGGCCTGCACCTCCGCCTGCGCTGCCGTCTCCTCCACCTTCTCTTCCTCCCCCTCCTCCTCTTCCTCCATGGGCTCCTCCTTAGTCGCCTCCTTTCCGGTTTCCCCTATTGCCTTTTTTTCCAGCTGCATTTGCGTGGCCGCCGACGTATCCTGCTTGAAGAGTTCCCGCAGAAACATGGTGGCATAGGCAGCAGAGGGCAGCGAGAACTCCAACAGGAGGGCCATGAATCTGGCCTCCTCCTCGGCGGGCTCAGGGGTAACGGGAATGCTTTTCAGTAGCTCCCAGTCGGAGGCTATCAGAGAATCCTCGGGCGTGTTGTACAGCCGGAAGCTCCACTTGAGATCAGTGGGCTGAATGATCATCTTGCGGTAGGCGCCACCTAGGGCGTACGTCTTCTCCTTGTGCTTCAGAAGATCCGAGGTAAGGCCCACCTCGGCTAGCATCTCCTCGTACCAGACGCCGCACTCGTTCGCCGGATAGGTAATGTCGTGTCCCGGCAGGGGCAGAACCACGTCGGAGAGGCGGAAGCTGCCGCTGGCAATGTCCTCGGCGGTCAGGGGACGCACTTTGCGCTTAAATACCGATTCCTCTTCGATGGTCTCGTCCTCCCCAAGAGTTTCTGGAAGATCTTCGGTATTTTCCTCTTCCTTTTGCTCCTTTTCTCCCGAGACCTCGTTCGGCTCCTCCTGATTTTGTTCCTGCTCCTGCTCCACATATACCAAATCTCCGGGAATCAGCTTCAGGCCAAACTCCTTGATCCTCCGAGAGGCAATCCTGTTGAAGACAAGGCTCTGGTAGGCATGTGGATACAGCATCAACATGTTCCTGGGTATCTGCCGCAGAGCTGAAGAGTAGTCCGACTCCCCGAATCTGGCCAATCCGTCCAGCAACTTCTTCTCGATGAACTTGTCGCCGTAGATCTGCGCTGCCGCCGCCGCCGAGTCGCGTTTTTCCCACCATTCCTCACGGATGGGACGCATAAACTCCACGTCCGAGTCGCGCGGCTTAAGGATCAGCTCGCAGGCGAGTTTATAATCACATTTCAGCAGGGCCACGCCCACCTCGTACGTGGGCACGCTGGCACTATTGCCGAACCGCTGCAGGCCGTAATAGTTGATGAAGCCCCGTTCCCGGAGCGATTCCAGGGCCACCTCGATGTCGCCACGCTTCACCTTGTCTACGTGACGCAGGGCGATGCGGAAACGGTTGCCCTGCAGGTCACCCAGCTTCAGGGTGGTGTTTCGGAAGGCGAAGTTGCCGATCTGCACGTTCCTCAGGGATCGGGCGGCTGCCACTATTTGATCCGGCGCCCGGCGCTTGATGCAGAAGTTCTGGGTGGTCTTGGCCCGCTTGTCTTTGATGCCGGCGTAGTTCACCTGCGAGGGTCGCAAGCTGTGGAGAAATCAGGACTTAATGATGGAAGCTCAGCTGGAATACTCCGCAGCAAAACTTACAAAAGCCGCGAGGCCAAAGTTGAGGCGACATCACTGGTAACCAGGTTAGTTTTGTGCACCAGGAAGCTCACGAATTCCGCGGGAAAGTTCCAGCGCTTGTCGCCTATTCAAAAATATAACCTTATTAACTGGAGCTCTCTCCATTCAAGTTGATTGCATACCGCGACCTCCCTTGGGTTTTAGGATGCGAATAATTTTCTTCTCCGCCAGCTGCTCCTTTGGCTCCGTCTGTTCCTCCGTCGGCGGTGACTTGGCCTGCTGCTGCTGCCCAATAGTCGTGGACACCAACTTTCCTTTGTACAACTGCTTTACCAGCTGGTGGACCTGACCGCGCCTTTCCTTATCCAGGCTGCTCACATCTATTTCCACCTTCTGTTCGCTCTTGGGATCGGTTTTCGAGTCGGCCAGGTCGGCTATTTCCTGCCACACCTCAGCACCAATTACCGCCTCCAGTTCCTTCCTCCACTTGGCCAGATCTTCTGGGTCCACCGCTGGAATTCCAGGCGATAGGTAAGCGCATTAGTGATAGGAAACATAGTCGAAATACACACGTTCGATGGCCACCTTTGGCACGGTGAGGTCGTTCAGCTCCAAGACCCTGCCCTCGCTGTCAATCTCGTTCACGTGGAAATCCGAGAAGCGCGACTTAAGGATGCCAGTGAATCCTGGAGCGTCTGGATTTGTGAACTCCGTGATGCCCACCTGATTCTCGAGCAACACGGTCTTCTGCTGCGGCGGAGCTCTAAAAACAACAAAATAAAAGCCGGTAAGTACTTGTAGCTCATGTTTAAAGTCGAACACTTCACTTGTTGCGCTGACCCCCGTTCTGGGGAGGGCGATCCCGTTTCTGGCCACGCCAGTTGCTCTTGTTGTAGGGCCCGGAGTGGTGGTTCCGGCGTCCTCTGCCCCGATCCTTGCCCATTTTTATTCAAATATTAAAAGAAAAGTTGTGTGCCAATCAAAATCCACGTTTCGCACAACAAATGAACGTGGTCGCGTTTTAAAGTGACCTTTTGTTTTGTATATTTAAATTGGGCGGTATTTTTAAAAGCTTTAACTATAAAATATAAACCACCAAACAAAATACAAATTAATTAATAGTTTAAAATATAAATAAATACATCTGGAAATTGAAATATATTTATCAGAATATTTGAATTTTTAAATCCAACAGCAGACTTGGTATTTTTTGCAGCAATCTGTTAAGCATTTTCCTGTTTCCACGCACGGCCACACTAAAACACGTAATAATTACAGTACAAAGGAGTTTTTTTAATTTGTGTTAAAAATTGAAAAATAACCCAAAAGAGGATCACCAACGTTCAGTTATATTAATCAAGCGACTAACAAAATGCTGCCGCACCTAAGCGCAGACGAGGGCCTGCCGTCCGTGACGCGGAAAGTGTACATTAATCCCAATTTCCAGATGGCCCGCACGGCGTCTCATCTGCTGCAAGGCCAAACTGCGCATCAGCTGCCGCCCTTTCAGGCGCCCCCGCTGCCGCCACAGTACCCGGCGCCCGCCATCCACATCAATCCGCACTTTCTGCAGCGCCAGCGGGCCATGTACGAGCAGTTCCAGCAGCAACAGCAGCAGGAGTTCCTGCATCAACAGGTCTCCGCTGCGTACTATAAACAGACGCCTCCGTTGCCAGTAATTTCCGTGCCAGCCACACCACCTCCCCCACAGGCCAAGATAATCAGCAAGGCGAGCACGTGCCTGGTGCGTAAGGCTCCGGTAAAGGCCGCTGCTCCCCCACTAGTACCTACTCCTCCCGTGGTTGCTTCCTCCCGCACCCAGCCACCCTTGGTCAGCATTTCCAAGCGAAAGATTGTGCGCCAAGGAGCTGTGACGGCTGTTCCCGCCCCTCAGACACCTGTGCCGCCTGCCAAGCGCAGCCAGTACAAGTTGGTGCGATCCATATCACTGACCTTTACTCCCTTGGTCAAGAAGCGGCGGTCGCTGCGGGAGTTCGTGGGACAGTACGCCCTGAGACGAACCAACGAAGATGCGGAGCCAAAGAAGAAACTGAGGTAGGAACTATTGACATAGTGGCCATTAAAGTTGTGCGGAGATAATGTCATATATTGGTTGCTTTTTACTCATTTTACGCTGGAATAATATTCCTTCCACGTTCAAGATCGCTTTATGAACTATATGTGCAGTTGTTTAATTATCTTGCAGATCCGAGCAACAGCTACTTAAGCTGGGCGTTAACAAGTCCCTCAGTATGGTCAGCATACATGGCGTGATGTACAGGAAGATATCGAAGAACAAGTTAACGAAGCTGGATGCCAGGACTGCGGCTCCCAGGACTCTCAAGCCACCCTTGTCTGGACGGGCGCTGTTCGTCAGCGGAAACAAGTTCATACTGGATCCATCGGGCTGCCGTCTAACCAGGGTTTCATCGTCTTCAACTCCGCGACTACCGTCAGCTGCTGCTGCACCACAGATGAGCGTGAATCGCACCATGATCCGGCGCATCGATATTGGTGGCCTCACGTATGTGGCCTCGCCCAAGACCCAGAACGTCTTCATTCGTACCACGAATCACTTGTCGAGGGCCCATCTGATCACCGCCAGGCAGAGGAGTTTGACGCTGCTGAACAAGTCGCGGGTGAAGACCAATGTGCCTTGTGCCATCTACCAGAAGCTGGGCAAATGTGCTGCCCACAGTCGCGGCAAGTGTCGCAAGCTGCACGATCAGCGACAGGTTGCCATCTGTACCAGGTTGGTCCCAAGTCACACGAAGAGTGCTTACCTTTCGATGGCGTCCCCAAAACTGTTTCCATTCTCTCCCTCCTCTATTCACAGCTTCCTGCGCGGCGAGTGCTCCAATCCGGACTGCCTGCTCTCGCACAACGTCACGCTGGAGAAGATGCCTGTCTGCCGGTACTTTCTGCGCGGTGTCTGCGTCCGCGAGGATTGTCCGTACCTGCACAAGAAGCTCAGCCGCAAGGCTGGGATCTGCATTGACTTTGTGCGCGGCTACTGCCCGCTGGCTGCCGAGGTAAGTTGGCTTAGCCATCCCTCCGAAGGTATCCTATTAACGCCTTAATCTTTCAAGTGCAACAAGCGTCACGAATTCGCATGCCCGGAGCTGGAGCGCCAGGGAAAGTGCGAGTTGTCCAAGTGTGTGTTCTGTAAGAAGGCGCCATCCAAGCGTTTGGTCAAGTCGCGGCCCATGACTGTTATTCTTAAGGTTGCTAAGACCGAGAAGACCCAGAAGAAGGAACTGGAAGACAAGGCTGCTGACGTTCCCAGTAGCTCAAGGTACTTCAGATGCGACGGTGACCAGGCGAAAAGTCCCAAAGACGAAAAGGAAAGGAAGGAACCTCTGGAGGAGAAAGATGAGGAAGCGGAAGACCCGGCGGAAACCGAAGCCACTGTCGGAGTGCTCAAGCGCCCAACCCTGGGAACGCTGCCCGCTTTCATTCCCCTGGGCGACGGCAGTGAAGAGGATTGATAGAGCAACTGTTCGGAGACTTGGACCCAACGTTTCAGGTACAAATAATTTGGTTAAGTATCGTTATAGCGTAGCGTTTAATCTAAGCATTATTTTACTAGCTTAATTTCTACATTCAAAATAAAGACCAATATATTTGCATAAGATCTCGTGATGTATTTGATTTTGCGGGAATTTGACAAACTAATTTTACCTAAAACTGGGATAATCCTAATTTTTAATCTTTTTTCCTTTGGTTTTTAATTTAAGGGGTATCAAATTTCCTTAGCCAAATTTTCGAACTTAAGGAACTCTCCAATACTCTTTCCTTAAGCAATGTTTTCCACCACTTTATTAAAGTTTTTCACCTTTTGTAGAACTATAGTTTGTGGAGACTCGGAAGTCTGGCAACGCTGGTCACTCGGACCGAAAAATCTGGCAAATAGGTTTTTTTTTAGCTGTTTATATTGGGCAATCCAGCCTCACATCACTGGTTCGTAAGCTAGATTTTGGTTCGGCGCTGCGCATGCGCACAGTTTATATTCCGATCGCGACCGTCCTCCATTTCTTTCTGCGTACTTTGCGGCTATTTTCAACTCAAAGAAGTGAAAAAACAACAAAATTAAGTAATTAATATTAAATGTAAGAAAGAAGTGCCTTGTGTTTTTGTGTAACGGTCAGCCAAGTGGAGTAATTGCGGCAAAAGTGGTTATTCACTTAACAAAGGCGAAAGGCGGTTCGGTAAAAAGAGTTTGTTAATAACGAGCCCGAAGAGTTGGCAGCAGAAAAGAAGACGGTCCTTCTGCATATAAATAAACTTAAAAATTACTCTTTCAAAGGCTAGTTTAGTTTTTATACGACTTTAAAATTTGACACCTGTGGTTACCTGTTATGAACAAACAAAACGCGGCAACAACAACCAGTGAGTGCTAGTGTGTGTGTGTGTCGCGGTGGCTGTTGCAAAAACAACAAGCTTAATGTAAAGTTGCGAAAAATGCGGGGTAAATGCTGGGAAGCTTTCGGCAAAACGGCCTTTGAACTCGATCGAAGATATTTACCCATGCTGCAATACCACTCTCTCTCTCTCTCGGTCTCTTTCTCAGCCAAAAATCCAGGCCACAAGCATATTTTCCAGGCAGGCATTTTTCCAATGTGTTTGTGCACTTGCTGTAATTTTTTCAAAATGTTCTCGCTCTGTGCATTCCTAAGTAAATGCTACTAATAAAAAAAGAGAGAGAACTGAAAAAGAGAAGAAAAAAGGAAGGCAATCCGAAGATTGGCCGTTTCCAGCAAAAGAGATGAAAAAAAAGTTGTTTGACTTGTTTGACCCGTGTGCAAGTGTGTGCCAGTGCTGTGTGTGTGTGTCTGCGTGTATGAGTGTGACTTCTGCTTCTTCTTCACCCCGTTCTTCTTCTTCTTTGGACCTTGTTGTTGGCCAAGTCGTATTCTACATAAATTACTAACCAAAATGACACATAAGAGCCATAAAAATGAATTTTTAATTTATGCTGCGCCCAAGAAAAGCACGAAATACAACAACATAACGGCGTCTGCTTCAGATTTTATGTAACGCAGCAGCAAAAAAAAAAAAAAAAAAAAACAAACGAAACGCAAAACCTCGCGAATAATAAGATAAAAACGATATAACGGTCACTCGCTGATCACCGATCGTCGATATATGGTTAATTAGTGATAATCATTTGCTCTAATTCGCTATAATTACACTTTGTGCGGCACAATTTCACCCATTTAATTGATTAAAAAATTCCAGCAGCCTGTGATAAAACAAAGCGAGAAACAATCATAAAATAAAACAAAGAAAAGAAAAGAAGCCACCGAAAGAGATTGGAGAACAAAGCCGAGTTTCCAGTCCCCAGATTCCACATTCCATGGTGAGTGGGGGGCAGCATACATTAATTCCCATAAATTCCCAACGAAAGTCTCGACCGAAAATGCTTAAACTCGAAATTTATGTGACAATGGCATTAGGGATTCAAATCTCCGGCACGAAATAATTACATTACTTTTTATTTTCATTTAATAATTTGCATAATTGGGCCCCAGCTCAGAGATCGCTCTGGGGTTTCCTTGGCCGACTTCCACGTCGCGGTGGGTCGTGCCCGTCCGTCGAACGGTACTCGGCGGCGGGTCTAACGGGTCGCGCAGGAAAGCTGAAGAATTGAGGGAATCTATGGGAAGAGCCTTCCATTTATAGTTTGACCCATCTGCTCTTTTTCCCATGGTGCCAATTAAGTTAACGAATATTTAGCATTTATTGGCAGGGTTTCCCCTGCCTTTCAATTCAAGGTTGATGTTTCGATAAGAAGGAGTATACAATATATTTGTCTTTATTCTGATTTTAGTTGGGGTATTCATTTAATGAAAATCGGATGACTCTATCATATAGTTGCCATAGGAACGATCGCTAAATGTATAGAAAAATGTAAACCGTAAATGAAATTACTTCTTTTTTTACCACGGAACATATAAAATAATGTTTTATTACCTAGAAGAATCAGCTGAAGTTCGGCTATGCTATATATACATATATATATATATATATATATATGCTATATAAATATACCAAATGGAATGTCAATGGGTATACAAAAGACTCAGGAAACGAACTTGTTTTAATAACAAATCTACAAGTGCAGGGATTAACGTTGGTTTTTTTTATCAATTAGTTTAAATTTAAAAATTGTTAAAAACTATTTATTTTAATTACTAAATTGAAACATTTGCCAAATGCAATTATTTTCTTTTATGGAAATCCCATGGAAATACAAAAGACTCAGGATACGAACTTGCAGCGGGTGCGTCATGTCGCCCGAGAAACGGTAATCCGGATAACGGTGTAGCCTAGAACAGGGGTGGGGTGTTTGAGCGGTTGAGGGGTGACAAAGCCCGGGAAGAGCATGAAGCCAGAGCCGGCCACTTTCTAGTCGGACCCGCTGCGCTTTAGTCTAATGATGTCAATTACATCGTGCCACTCGCATTGCGGGCAACAAATGCATGCCGTGCTTATAAGGCAGCAACAATGCGGCCTGCCACAGAAACAACTGCAAACAGCGGCAACTGCAACTGCAACTGCAACAGCAGCAGCAACTACGACTGCAACAAGTGACTGCGACTTTGGCTTCATTAAAATTGCTATTCGTTTGGCCAGCCTGCATCTTTCTTCTTTCCTTTTTCTATCCAATGCTGTTTCCATGTTGCGCCAACAGGGAAATATGTACGAGCATCCCATCCACTCCGTATGTTTCTCTGCCGGCCAGCAATTTTAATGAGTTTTTAAGAAATTGTACAAGATGCCTGTTACGGCTGCGAAAACGCAAGGCGCACTAAAAACATAAACACCTTTTAGCCGTCGCCACCACACATCTCATGTTGTGTGATTAATTTAGTCGCCGATTTGTTCGTTAACAAGTGTCCAATGTGTGGAAAAAGACGCGGCCGTTTAAGGGGAAAGTGACAGCAATGAAAACCCTGGGAAATTCAATTGCGAACAGTGCTTGTAATTTCCGAAGAAAGTATAATAAATTAAATTTGCATAAGCATTGTACATATTACTTGAAAGTCTTGTAAGCGAAAATGCTAACAGAGGTAGAGATTTTTCAGCTATACTCACATCCTACAAAGATTTAAATGAGCATTAAGTACAATAATCCTTGGCTCTTTATAAGTTCTTATTATATGCATTATACCTCCACAGTTTATTTGTGCAAAATGCACCTCTCTCAAGGGCCCTTCATCTTATAAATTTATTAAACATAATAATTTATGACTCAATTTTTGCACTGAGGCCGCTTAAAATATATTTTCGGCCCCGGCACCGGCACAAGAAAAGCAAAAAAAAAAAAATTTGAACCAAAATCGGTGCTGTCACGCCCACGTCTCATGTCTGGGGGCTATAAGGGAAGAGAGTCGGGGGTATGGGGCTGGGCCGAGGTCTCTTTACGCCCAATTTGTCACACATTTCAACAGGTTACGAGATGAATCTCAGATCGGGATGGAAGCGGTGGTTGAGGGCATTATCAAAAACCGGGCAAAGAAGACGTTGACGATGACGCTGGGACGCAGTCTGGCCGCAGATCATGGGCTGGGAACCGAGGATCGAGAATCGAGAGTCGGGTATATGGGTCTGGGTAGGCGTTTTTGGTGTGGAATTTTCGGGCATACCTGGCGGGCCTCATGAAGCGTGAGGAATTCCCTCTCCGCTCCGCACCGCGCCGTGCCGCTCCTTTCCCTTTGCTTGTTGTCCTTTCTAAGTGAAAAATTATGCAAAAATGTTTCACTTTAATAGCGGAAATCATTTATAGAAGTTGTAATAAAGCCCCAGCATGGTCGCTGGACCAACGGTGGTCATGTTTTTCGGTTCGGTTCGGTTGATGCGGACGAGTCCTCCGCCTCCTCCCATTGCCCTGGGGCTGGGTTTTGTGCTCGTTAAACGACCGCCAACGTGGCCGAGTGCAAGAATGTTGCCACACTTTGTGGCCGCGACAGTGGCGTGGCGTGTCGGGACGGGAGAGAGGGGACTCTGGCCTCCCCCCGTCAAAGGAGTCTGAGTTAAGGCAACTTTAGTCAACGCTAATGACCTGACAAAAGCAATTCTCGTCGGCATTTGTTGACTTTTGGGCGCAAATAAACTGTGAGAGTTCATTAGTGACAGAAAAGATACTATGCCTTATTTGGAGCAATAAAAAATGTGTTTCCCCAATCGCGAAACATGGTAAAAAGAAATAACAAAGCTCGTAAAAAGGCCATGCTAACGCGACATTAATATGTGAATCAATGGGTTCTTTAGGAAATTTATAAATGGTTATTTATCAAATGCCTAGTAGGGGAAATTTATGTTTCAGCTGGGCTTTATTATTTCATTACCATTCTTTTACACATAAATAGTATTTTTACCATTAAATAAAAGAAAAACCTCTATGTATCCCTTTAGAAAATGTAATATTAATATTAATATTACAAACAAATCCAGGCAGAAAAACAGCAAATTGCTGTAATAATCATTAGTGCTATTTTTCCTCTGGATTTCCACAACATTTTTCATACACATGTCTCAATTTCGCAAAAATTTGTAAGAAATACAAAAGACTTAGGACACGAACTTGCAGAAATTTCAACAAAAACTAACAGAGAAAGAAAATACTCAATCAAATCCGAATAATTCGCTCATTTGAAAGTCTTGATCCAGTGTTGCTGCTGTTGGCATTTCACTGGATCGCACACGGTCGCGATAAAAACCTGGGACCAAGTACAATTATAAAACCATTAAGGCATCCAAATTAGCTCATTTGCTATGAAACCGGGCATCATAATCGTTAAAAACCGAGCCGCGCCGAGCCGAGCAGTCGCTGAAACGAATGATAATTGTGCAAAAAGCGCGCAGAGCCAGAGAGAGAGAAAATAACAAACACAGCCAATAAAAGTAATAAAAGCAAACTGTTAAAAGTGCCGCCACACAGAGGCTGAGCAATTGATAAGCGCTTTATGACAGCCGGCTGAATGCATTACGGTTTATGCGTTTTTTTATGCCTATTTATTGGATATTTGCCAGAGGATAGCAGTGAACTGAGTGCACGGTACCACCAACGATCATAAAAATTTCGCAAAGCGAAACATAAATGCGCGAGACAAATTCCTCGAACAACTGTGCACTCAATAAAATTTGATTCTGCAAATTCCGCAAAGTCCACCAGGCCGAAGTATGCACTTTTGCATTTTCAATGCTGATGGTTTGTCCTTTTTTCACTGTCCAGTGTCAGGTATTTTATGTATACTTTATGGTTCAGGTATAAAATTAATGAATAAATATATAGTTTATATCACATAACAATGATAAGATCTTGCGCAACCAGATCCATTACACTAGCATGCTTCTTCAACTAAACTATCATTAAGCCTTGGGAAACCTCTTGTTAAGTATTTTGTTAAACATTTTCCTGAAATAAATCTGATCTTCTCTTGCTGCCACAAGGAGCCCTCTGGCTCATTAGAATTCCAGTGCAGTTTTCCTTCAAATCAATTCAGGGGGAACGCACTACACCAAGGAGGAATAATGGGAATGGCGACTGCGGTTTCCCCAGGCCTGTCACTCAGGTCTCTTGTCATTCGGCCTAACATTTCAATTAATGCCGTATCTATGGCTTCTGGCCAACAATGGAAACCTATTAAGAGACACACACGCAATTTCCACATGAGAGGCAGAGACCGGATCGTATCGGATCGCGTCTGCGAGGCTGCGAGTTTCCGCTTATGAAAAAAGAGGCTTTAATTGATTTTGGCCAACTTCGGTTCGGGATTTTAATTACGGCTTCTTGTTTGCTTTAGCAACTTTCTCTAGAAGAGCAGTTTGCCGGCTACCGCAAAGCCAATTAAATGATAACAAATTCGAAGGGAAGAGGCGGCCACCACCACCACCTTTCCCGATGCCGTTGATAGGCAGGCGCCGCTGGCAAGTGAATGGCGCAATCAGACTCACCCGTTCCAGTGCCGACACCGAAACCCGTATCCAAACCGAGACAGAATTCTCGCCGAGCTAAGGCCACTGTGCGAGAAGCTGTCATAGGGGCAAAAAAAAAAAAAAAAAAAAAAAGAACAGATGAGGAGGGAAGGGGGCTTTGGGGATCGCACAAATTTATGGCCACATTCAATTGTCAAGTTTATGTGACTGCGGCTGAGGATCGGCCAATATTTGCATAAGAGGCGTCGACATCGTCCCTGGTTTCTTCCCTGTTCCCTAGAATTCTCTTTCTGGCATTTGAAAGTCTCATTGTCTGGGCTTTGTTTCGCAAACCGCTCTATAAATAAACACGATCTACCACCGTCTTTTGTTTGCAGACAACGAGCGATCCGAGGGCGCCCTAATGACTCTTCGCTGGCACACAAATGACGAATTATGAGAACCTTATAAATTTGCCATTAAACTTTAATGCAAATAATCACGCCGCCAATAATAATGAGAACAATGCCAAAATTGCCGTCGCTGGCGAGCAGCTGCTGAATAAGATGTCGCAGCGGGATTTCTCCGAGGTAAGTCGAGAGGCGAAAGGAAATCGAATTATTGTTCAATTATTGCTTTTGGGAAGCTGCCACACGGCTTCCAATCCCCTGACTCCCCCACCACAGCAAAAAAAAAAAAACAGCAACAAAAAGAGAAATATACAAAAACATGTTTGCCGGCCAAGTATTTCCAGTTTGCAGTTCAAACACCATGACAATTATTTATGGCCTTCAAATATATAAAACTTAATCATGCATTACGCTCCCCAAAATTTAACAAAGAAGAGATGAGATGAGGCAAAGACATAAAGATAATCAACTACACTTGGAAGAAAGGGGGGATCAAACGAAATAATAGTATAGCAAAATATTTATATAGCAAAATATTATGTAAACATCTCTCTTAAATAAAATCTAGAAAAAATAATTTGTTTAAGCCCTAAAAAAAGTTAAGTCAAAAATTAAGCAAAACAATATTTTAGTTACACTTGAGTAGTAATACCTAAGTTATGGATCATCGCTAAACAAGCAGAAAAGCTGTAAAGAAGTAAAACTTTAAACTTTTTAAGCCAAGTAAGAAAATTCTTGCTCGAAATAAGATGAGGTAGAGTTTTCTGCAAGTGCAGGCAATACAGGAAAAAAACAATCAGAGGCAATAATCAAAATGATGGCAAAATGATTTCAATGTTGATTAACTCAGCGGCAAGACTACAAAAGGGCTTAGCTACAAGACCAAATTAAACAAAAGCCCAACAGAGCAGACAGAGATAAAAATGCCAAAACGCAAAACCTCGGCGACTCGACGACTGTTGTGGACTGCGACTAACCCCCCAGCACCATCTTCTGACCCTGACTCTGACTCTGGAGTTGGAGTTGAGGTTGAGAGTAGTCTGGGCCCGGCCCTTTCATCATATTCCGCGCTGTCATGTCATGGGCAAGAACAAAAAAGATCCAAGCGATCCAAGCACAACAACATCAGGAACAGACGACAACGTCAACGATGTTGGATAAGTTTCTGGCGCTGTCTCCGAGACGGACCAGTCCGGAATCCACAATCCCAGAGTCGAGACCCCTGCGGCCTGTCTCGCTGACTGACTGCCTTTCGAGTGTCCCTGTCCCCGATGCTCCCCAATGCCCATCCCTTCCCTTTGGCAGCTAGACGGACGATAGGAAGTGACCATTCGAGATTCTCTGATCGGAGAAGCGTGGCCAGGAATTTCGGAGAGGGGAAACAGCAGCCAAATGAGTGCATAAATTCCAGACTAATGTCGATTTCGATTAAGGCCTAAATATACGAATATTTAGGGCTTACTTAAAAGGTGATGTGAGGAGATAGGCATGCGAAAGGTATACACAGCATTAAGGGTAAATAAATAAACAGGAATGTTTGGAGAATCTTATAATGCCACAGTAATAATATAATCACTATCAAACCCTTGGAATCATTTAAGTGTAACTTTTGTTCTCTGAAATTAAAAGTAATTACCCATTAGCCTGGAATTATACCCAAAGACTCATTTAAATTATTATTCTAATTTAATTTCCTGCAACGCTCCAAGGCAAGTTGCAAGCTTTTATTTAAATAATTGTCTGCTGGAAATTATTTTATAACCCAACTTAAAAAACACAATTTAGGAAAGAATACATATAATAGCATATAAAACCCAGTCAACTCATAAATCCTACCCTAAAGTTTAGAGCCTAGACCTACTAAAACCAAGAATTAAACGTCTGAAGATAATTTCCCAAAGGTTGACTTCTTGTCTGTCTTTAGAAGCGGATAATCCGGGATTAGCCTCATGGCAAAAGCGGATCACAGACAATAGTGGCAGAGGGGATCTCGGGGAGGAATATAGAGGGAGTTTCGGAGTCCGCAGCTAATTATTTTATTACGCGTTAAATTGCAACAAAATTCTCAAGTTGAGCGCAGAACATGCCAATGTGCGCCACAAGCAATCGTGAAATTGTTCGCATTCCAATGCGACGGACAGACTTTATCGAAGCTGCTCTCTTGGCCAGCCTCTGGGGCTAAGACAAGCACACACTCTGGCAGGCTCTAAACTTGGCCAACACACACACACACACTCGCCAAACTCTCCACTCACACACACTCGAAAGCACTCCATGGTTCCAGGCAACCGCCCGAGTGCATCTATGGGTGCCACTTTTTGCCTTGCTCCGCGTTTTTTTACTCTTCTGTTACCCTTACAGAAGGAACTTTAAATTTGTCAAGACATTTGTAACAGTATCAAGTTATTAATCAGCATCAACAGGCAAGTCGATCTAGACTTGTCTATCTGGTCTGTCTAGGTTTTTAGCCGATTTACAAGTTCATCTTTTGTGTAAGAAAATAGAAATAACTTTAAAATCTGTCAAGACATTTTTAACAGTATCAAGTTATTGAGGATTACTTTTGATCAGGATCAACAGGCAAGTCAATCTAGACATGGGTAGCTGTGTTACTAGTTTTTAATCGATTTACAAGTTCTTCTTTTCAGTCCACGAATTAGTCTAATATAACGATTGGAAAAAGCCTGATTACTGTAAATGACTGCATATAGTTGTGGCTTTTTCAAGGTGCTACCCTGTGAATAAAAATATTTATCATAAGATGGTAATTTTTCTACAGAAGCTTTCTTTCAGGTCTATCTATAAATTTAATTAAAATTAAACACAAGAGCAGGACTTAAAGGGTATTTACAATTTGGTTTGCCTAAGCTACCTTCCTGTTAGTTTATTTTATTTTACTTTTTTTTCGTGTTGGGCGGACAGCCAACAAACGGCGACCAGTTCTCGAATCGCAGGTTTTTCTCTGGCATTCCAGAATTCCACCGCCGACTTCCTTTCTCTCTCTCTATCTCTATCTCCGCCTCGATCCCCTGTTTCTCCCTTTCGCGTTGCATAAAATTCTTGGCCGTCTTCTCGACTATTTTCTAAGATGCTGCTGCTGTTGCAGTTGCTGTTGCGCCGCAGTTGCTGCTGCCAATTTAGCTGGAATTGCTGGAGCGAGATGGCAAGCGTATCACTTTACATGACTTCTCTATGTGCCATTTGGGCGCCAATTCCTAAATTGACACAGGTCCAGAAAAATGGGAAGCAAAAGGGCAGAAAATGTTCAAAATCTGCGGAAATAAATGTCTGATAAAAGGAACGAAAAGCAGTTAATTAGTAGACAGAAAAAGATACAACAAATGAATACCATTTGTAGTTGAAAAAAGGGAAGGACTTTCTTTAATAATTATTTAAATATATTTATATGTTTGTTTACTTATTAAATTATATTTGATTTAAAATTGTGCAATTAGTTAATTTCAATTTAATTTCATTAGCGCTTAGTAAGCTCTAGTTTTAATCAGCTTAATTTAAATCACATAAATCGGATTAAATTCAACAAATAAATAATAAATAGAGAATTGACAATATGCAAAATTACACAAAGATCAATAACTTTATAATTTTCGAAATTAACAAAATTATTAACACTATAAGTGCAAACTTTTTAGGTTAATCCAGAAAATCAAAGAAAAACTGTCCATATTTATAGCCTCATTATAGCCACTTTCAAAGGTCTACTTTTCGTGGAGGGAATTACAAAATGTATACATGTATAATTATTCCCTCGACGTATAAAGGTACCTTGAAGAAATGCTACCCATCTGTCATCACTGGATCTCTAAGCTCTTGTCCAGCATTCCCACAGTTTGGGCTTATCCTAAGCCATCGACATTCCGCTTCGAGTTCCCCTTAACTCCGTCCGACTGTCTGCTATTATTATTATTATTATTTTAGTTGGAGGGTGATAACATCTGCTAATGCCATTCCGTCGGCGCTCCCTTCCTGCCGGAGATCTTCGCCGGTCGTTTTTGAGGGCATGGGCATGTTTCTCTCCCTCTCTGTGCGTGTTTATTTGACTTTGAGTTTGACTTTAGCTCCGACTTTGACCATTGGCAGCCGTTCCGCAATCTCGTCTGCAAGATCTACTCGGCTAGCACCGCCAACGCGGATAGGACTCGGTGTTCTCTCCTTGATACCCTTTCCTAAGGCAAAGGCTTTTATTTCTGCTTAAGATTGAGGGTATTTTGTAAGTCGATCATCCAAGTCAGTCTGCCTTACCCGTTTCGTTTGGCTTCGATGTTTTCTTTTTGGTAACGCCCTCTTCATTTGGGGCTTATCGCTGAGGTGTAGTCCGTTGCGGGCTTTTATAAGCGGCATAAAGCGAAAATTGCGTTCTGCATCTGTCAGATACTTTGTTGCTGGCTGATTTATTCGCGAGGCCAGGTTCAGCCACAGCCTCAGTTCCAGCTTCAGGTTCAGGCGCAGGTCCAGCTTGTCCCGGCCAGAAGGCCAATCTAAGCACGTTATCCGTAACTCACGCCCCGCCAGCGACAGCAGCCACATCAGGAGGGGCTGCATCAGCACTTGCCTGGCCACGTTTCCTGGCCAAGGACTGGCCGTGGCAGTGGGACTCGGTCGCCGTTTCGGTGGCGGCCTAATGCATTTGCATACTCATTGCATTTAATTGCTTCAAAAAATATGTAAAAATTTCCACGTCGTTGTCACGGTCTCGTCTTGTCTCGTCCCTGCAATGACCGTGACCATGGCCTATCCTCTGCCCAAAAAGGCCTCGGCTCTAGTCGCGGCTACTGATTCACCACCAGTCGTGGCTCAGTTCTTGGGCCACGAATTCGTGGAATTGCTTCCGCATTTGACGGCCAGCGAACAGGATCGGGAGCTGTGGAGCTGTTGGAGTTGAGGAGCTGAGATCTGGGAGCGAACAGCAGTTGGCCGGGAAACGTGACTCGGTGGCCGCATACCTGTGTTCCGAGGGCTGGCGACTTAGCCGCGAAGCTGGTGCGTCGGCATTTAACATAATTACAACCCAGTGTCGACCGCACAGTGGGTAAAGGTACAAAAAACAATGGGATATATCGAGCATATTTGGTAGGGAACAACTCTGGATCACAGAAACTTTGATTATTTAAAGTGAAACGAAGGGAGAAACTTTGCAAATATTAATTACATGCTATCTCTTAGATAGATATTCTTTTTCCACAATCCATCTTATTTCTTCTCTTCTATTTTTGGATTCAATAATTATAATTTGTTTTGCTCATGGGGGTATATCGCACTGAATTAAGTAGTAAATATTCTTTAATTTTTAAAACAATTTAGGTTGTGGTTTTTTCTGTAATGCATCTGAAAATACTTACCTTAAACCACTGTGCTTCCCAATAACTGCGGCAGATGTGCAATCATCCAGACGCTTTCCTCAATTCTCGCTCCTCTGCGAATTCCCCGGCACAGTCATTTCTCCGCCTGCCCCTGGAGTTATCCACTTTTCCACTTCTGTACAGTTGTGTTTATTGCTCTACTTAGGCCATCGCACTGCGGAATGATCCTCCACCCTATTTTCCTCCCAGAAATATCGCCCAAATCAAAGCGTATTCTAATCAGCATCAAAAATTCAAGTTTGACTGGTATTCCTTCAAGTGCAATCCATAATTTTGATCTTCTATAACTCCTTAGCTCCTATGTATATCTATCAAATTACTCTCCATGCTTAAATCCAATCCATCCTTTCTTGACTCTTCCCAGAACGAGCCGGAATGCACACCGGAGCTGCCCGCCGCGAACCGTGCTCTCTTCCTGGAGAAGGTTCGCCAGTCGAATGGTGCCTGCCAGAGCGGTGACTTTGCCACGGCGGTGTTGCTTTACACGGATGCCCTGCAGCTGGATCCCGGAAACCACATCCTCTACAGCAATCGATCGGCGGCGCTACTTAAACAAGGTCAGTTCGCGGCCGCTCTGCAGGATGCTACGCAGGCGCGGGACCTGTGTCCGCAGTGGCCTAAGGCTTATTTCCGCCAAGGCGTTGCCCTCCAGTGTCTCGGTCGCTACGGCGAGGCTCTGGCCTCCTTTGCCTCCGGCTTGGCCCAGGAGCCGACGAACAAGCAATTGATGGGTGGCCTTGTCGAGGCCTCATTGAAGAGTCCACTGAGGACGGCGTTGGAGCCAACACTGCAGCAGCTGCGCACCATGCAGCTACAGGAGTCACCGTTCGTGGTCAGCTCGGTGGTGGGCCAGGAGCTGCTCCAGGCTGCCCAGTATCCGGCGGCGGTGTCAGTTCTCGAGGCTGCCCTGCGGATCGGCAGCTGCTCTCTGAAGTTGCGCGGCTCCGTGTTCAGCGCCTTGAGTTCCGCCCACTGGGCTTTGAATCAACTGGACCAGGCCATCGGCTACATGCAGCAGGATCTGGCGGTGGCCAAGTCTTTGGGTGACACGGCAGGCGAATGCCGGGCGCACGGCAACCTGGGCTCCGCCTACTTCAGTCAGGGTGCTCACAAGGAGGCGCTCACAGCCCATCGCTACCAGTTGGTGCTGGCCATGAAATGTAAGGACACTCAGGCGGCAGCTGCCGCCCTGACCTCGCTGGGCCACGTGTACACGGCTAGCGGGGATTACCCCAATGCACTGGCCTCCCACAAGCAGTGTGTGCAGTTGTTCAAGCAGCTGGGAGATCGGCTGCAGGAGGCCCGGGAGATCGGCAACGTGGGAGCGGTCTACTTGGCCCTCGGCGAGTGTGAAGCGGCCCTGGATTGTCATTCGCAGCATCTGAGATTGGCGCGCAAGTTACATGACCAGGTGGAGGAGGCCAGGGCCTACTCCAATCTGGGATCTGCTCACCATCAGCGACGTCAGTTTACCCAGGCGGCAGCGTGTCACGAGCAGGTCCTGCGAATCGCTCAGGCGCTAGGCGATCGCTCCATGGAGGCGGCCGCCTACGCCGGATTGGGTCATGCAGCGCGCTGTGCCGGTGATGCCAGTGCGTCCAAGCGGTTCCACGAACGTCAGTTGGCCATGGCGCTGGCCGCAAGGGATAAGCTTGGAGAGGGCAGAGCCTGTTCTAATTTGGGAATTGTCTACCAAATGCTGGGCTCCCACGATGCGGCTCTTAAGCTGCACCAGGCTCATCTGGGCATCGCCCGATCCCTGGGTGACAGGACAGGCATGGGACGGGCATACGGAAACATGGCAAGGATGGCTCACATGGCCGGATCCTATGAAGCGGCCGTAAAGTACCACAAGCAGGAGTTGGCCATCAACCAGGCGATGCATGATCGCAGTGCGGAAGCCACCACCCATGGCAATCTGGCGGTGGCCTATCAGGCTCTGGGCGCCCACGATGCCGCTTTGACCCACTATCGAGCCCACTTGGCCACGGCCAGATCGCTGAAGGACACCGCCGGCGAGGCCTGCGCCCTGCTCAACCTGGGTAACTGTCTCAGCGGGCGGCAGGAGTACGAGGAGGCGGTGCCGCACTATGAGAGCTATCTGATGCTCGCCCAGGAGCTGGGCGACGTGACCGCCGAGGGCAAGGCGTGCCACCTGCTCGGCTATGCCCACTTTTGTCTCGGCAACTTCCGAGCGGCCGTGCGGTACTATGACCAGGATCTGGCCCTTGCCAAGGATGCCCAGCACAGGCCGAACATGGGGCGAGCCTACTGCAACCTGGGACTGGCTCACCTGGCGCTGGGACACACTGCCGCCGCCTTGGAGTGCCAGCAGCTGTTCCTTGCGGTGGCCCACGCCACCAACCAGCTGCCGGCCAAGTTCCGGGCGTTGGGCAACATCGGAGACATCCTCATCCGAACGGGGTCACACGAGGTAAATTACATATCCGGGAATATATCTTAAGATTCCACCTACACTCAAATGCTATCCTTTCCAGGAGGCCATCAAACTATATCAACGACAGCTGGCTTTGGCCCGAGCTGCTGGCGATCGATCCATGGAGGCAGCTGCCTGCGGAGCCCTGGGCTTGGCCCATCGACTGATGCGGCGCTGGGACAAGGCGCTGGGGCATCACACCCAGGAGCTGACGCTGCGCCAGGAGTTGGGTGACTTGTCCGGTGAGTGCCGTGCCCACGGTCACCTAGGAGCCGTACATATGGCCCTCTGCAGCTGGACAAACGCTGTGAAGTGTTATCAGGAGCAACTGGAGCGGGCGCAGGAGCAACGTGATGCGGCAGTGGAGGCGCAGGCTCATGGAAATCTGGGAATCGCTCGACTCAATATGGCCCATTACGAGGCAGCTATTGGCTGCTTGGAGGCCCAGCTGGGCACTTTGGAGCGAGTGTCCCTGCCGTCCACTCAAGCGGATCGAGCAAGAGCCTTGGGACACCTGGGCGATTGCTATGCCGCCCTGGGTGACTACGAGGAGGCCCTGAAGTGCCATGACCGGCAGCTCCAGTTGGCGTTGGGTCTGACCAGTCATCGGGATCAGGAGCGCGCTTATCGGGGATTGGGACAAGCTCGCCGGGCACTGGGCCAGCTGCCGGCCGCCTTGGTTTGCCTCGAGAAGCGTCTGGTGGTGGCCCACGAGCTGCACAGTGCGGAGATCAAGGCCCTGGCCTACGGGGACTTGGGACACGTCCACGCCGCCCTCGGGAATCATTCGCAGGCCTTGAACTGCCTGGAGCATCAGCGGGAGCTGGCACAGGGTCTGCAGGATCGTGCCCTCGAGTCGGATTCCATGTGCGCCCTCGGCCAAGTCCAGCAGCGTATGGGTCAACATGCGGCGGCCCTGGACCTGCACCAGAAGGACCTGCAAATCTGCACAGACCTGGCCGCTCCAGCGCTCCAGGCCAGAGCCCTGAGCAACCTGGGATCGGTGCACGAGTCACTGGGTCAGCAGGCCGAAGCCCTCAAGTGCTACGAGAGGCAGTTGGAGTTGAGCTCAGATCGGCTGGGCAAGGCAATGGCCTGCCTGGCACTGGGGCGTGTTCATCATCAGCTGGAGCAGCACAACCAGGCCGTGGAGTATTTGCGGCAGGGATTGGCGAGCGCTCAGGCAATGGGAAAGTCCGAGGAGGAGGCCAAGATAAGACATCAACTAGGTGAGTGAGCACGTGAATTATTTCTTACCATATGAATAACACCTACTATATATATTCTTTGTCCAGGTCTTGCTCTACGCTCCTCTGGCGACGCCGAAGGTGCTCACCTCCAACTGGAAACCGCTGCCCAGCTACTAGAGTCTGTGCGGCACGAGCAACGTAGTCCGGAGACCCGCCTGGCTCTCTACGATCTGCAGACCAGCTGCTACCACCTCCTGCAGCTCCTGCTGGTGGGCTTGAATCGCAACGAGGACGCCCTCGTGGCAGCCGAGCGGTGCAAGGCTAGAGGTGGAGCCGATGCCGTCAGCGGGGAGAGCAGCAAGGCCCCGCTAGCGGACAGCGAGACCATCCAGGACACTGTGAACCGGGGTCGCATGCCCGTGCTCTACTACAGCCTGGCCGGGGAGCAGCTGTTCGCCTGGCTCCTGCAGCCGCAGGCCGGGATCGTGCGCTTCCACGCTGCTCGCATCGATGCTCAGAGCCTGCAGCTGCCTCTTTCGCTCAGCGAGGAGGAGGAGGAACTGGAGATGGAGCGGGAACTGGAACGGGAACCGGGTGAGGAGCGACCCGATGGCTTGCTGGAGCGCTACGTGAACATGGTGCGTGACAATCTGGGAGTCAACTCGCAGAGCCTCCTCCACGAGGGTGATGGAAGTGGCTGGCGAGCCAGCACGGAGCAGCTGCTAGAGGATCTGCCCGGAGCTGGTGGTTCGGGCGGTGGCGGCGGTTTCCTGCGAATGGTAAGCCGGAACCAGCTGCTCAACTCGTCAAACTACTCGCTGAGCTCGCTGTTCTCCCTGGGATCGGTTGGCGGCTCGGTGGCCAGTCTTCAGGGCTCCACGCGATCCGTGGGCAGTCGCAGCTCGCGCAGAGCTCCGGCTCTGCCCGCCTGGCGAGGTCCCTCCTGCCTGCACACTTTGTACAATCTGCTGCTGGCTCCCTTCGACGATCTGCTGCCAGCGGGAGGACCCGCAGCCAATAGACAGGGCAGGAGGGAGCTAGTCTTGGTTCTGGACAGCTCTCTGTACCTAGTTCCCTTTGCCATTCTGCGCGCGGCTCGCGAGGATGGCGAGTATCTGTCCGAGCGCTGTGCCATCTTGACGGCTCCCTCGCTGCAATCGCTGCGTGGTCGTCCGAAGCCCCGTCGGGACAGAGCTCGTCCGCCCAAGGCCCTGGTGGTGGGCGGTCCTCGAGTCCCGTCCACTCTCGCCGAGCGCTGGGGTTGGGCTGGAGCCGAGTCCCCCGCCGCCTTGCAGGAGGCCGCCATGGTGGCGGATATGCTGCAGGCCACCGCCCTGGCTGGCTCCAATGCCACCAAAGAGTCCGTGCTGGCCGAGCTACCCTCCGCCGAGTGCGTCCACTTTGCAGCTAATCTCAGCTGGCAGCTCGGCGCTGTGGTCCTCAGTCCCGGCGACGTGGTCACCGCCGAGCAGCAGCAGCAGAAAGAGCCACATGAGCCGCAGCTAGCGGACTTCACCCTGGCGGCGGGAGAACTGCGTCACCTTCGACTCAGCGCCCGATTGGTAGTGCTTAGTTCGTATCATTCCGTTGAACCCATCACAGGAGCCGGAGTGGCCCATCTGGCAGGCGGTTGGCTGATGGCCGGAGCCGGCGCAGTGCTCATCTCTTTGTGGCCCGTTCCGGAGACGGCGGCCAAGATTCTGCTGCGCGCCTTCTACTCTGCATTGTTGCAGGGAGCCCGGGCAGCTCGGTAAGCAGTCTTTGGATGATTCTACGATCTTGGAATGAAAATTAATTTATCTGTTTCAGCGCCTTGGCGGAAGCCATGCAGACGGTGCAGCACACCAAGCACTTTGCCCATCCGGCCAACTGGGCGGGATTCCTGCTGGTGGGCAGCAACGTCAGACTGTCGAACAAAGTGGCCCTGGGCCACGCCCTATGTGAGCTGCTGCGGACGCCTGAACGATGCCGGGATGCGCTGCGCGTCTGCCTGCATCTGGTGGAGAAGAGTCTGCAGCGGATTCACCGTGGCCAAAAGAACGCCATGTACACCACCCAGCAGAGTATCGAGAATAAGGCGGGTCCGGTGGCCGGCTGGAAGGATCTCTTAATGGCAGTGGGCTTCCGTTTTGAGCCGGCTGCAAACGGGATCCCGTCCAGCGTATTCTTTCCGCAGGCGGATCCCGAGGAGCGGATGTCGCAGTGCTCGGCCAGCCTCCAGGCCCTGCTGGCTCTCACCCCGGCCACGCTCCAGGCGCTGGCCAAGTTGGTGCACGTGAACAGTGCCGAGTATGCCGACGATGTGATTGCCGTCATGCGCAACATCCTGGCCCAGTTCCCGGGCTCCAATTCCATCTCCAGCACGAGTTCCATCAAGACGGATATGATGGCGCCGGAGTCCTGCTTCATTGAGATGCCGCTGAGCGTGCGTCTGTGGCGAGTGGCCGGTTGCCATGAACTGCTCGCCTCCGTGGGCTTCGACCTGACGGAAGTGGGCGCCGACCAGGTGATCCTGCGAACCGGAAAGCAGGCCAACCGTCGCCACTGCCAGTTTGTGCTGCAGGCACTGCTAGCCCTGTTCGGTGAGTATTATTTTTGCTTCATTAAACTTTATATTTATATTTTAATTAAAAATTCAGATACTCGCGAGGCGCCCAAGAACCTGGGCATGGACCCGGACTCAGCCCACAGCAGCAGCTGCGAGTCCCTGGCAGACCCAGAGATGGATGTGCCACCTGTGCCGCCTGCAGCCACCAGTACGCCGTCCGTGAACGGGGCCACTAAGGCTCCGCTGCCACTGCATCCGCGCAGCGCCTTCATCTCGTACGTGCGACGTCGTGGAGAACCGGACGGCGGGCGAACTGAAGCCATCGGCAGTGGTGGGGCAGGAGGAGGAGGCGGAGGCTTGGACTCCAGCTTGGCCAACACCACCGACAGCGAGCACTCCCTTTCCGATGGATATGCCACCCAGCCAGGAGCCGGTCTCTCCAACCCTCGGTTAGGCTATGCCAGCATGAGAGCTCCGGTGCGAGTGTCCCGACCGGGAGGTGGAGGCGAGAGTGACGCCGCCTTTACGCCGAGTCCGCCAGTGACCGACCCTAGCTTATCGCTGGCTTTGGCGCATCAGACGCGCATCAGGAGCCTGTACTCAGCGACCAGCTCCGCTGCTACAGCTCCACCGGCGACGGCAACAACCATGAGCCGACGACCGGACAGCTCCAGCTCAGCCAGCAGCACCACAGACTGGGAGAGTTCGGGACATGCTACGGTCCTGCGGCGAGGAGCGATGCCGCAGCAGCAGCCTCCATTGCCACCCCCGCGTCCACCTACTTACCACAACCTGGGGGTGGGAGCCGGCGGGCGCAGCAAGCCGAAGATTAAGCTGGGAAGCGCCCAAAGCTCCCTGGCCGCTCGGGTTAACAAGGAGCACGCCCTGTTCATGGACCGTCTGAGTGTGCGGACGGAGCTGAGTGCGCCCGGAGGCAACGCCCTCTGCAGCGGATCCGGCAGCAGGAAGCCCCTGGCTCTGCCCGAGGAGGAGGAGGTCTCCAGCGTCGCCTTCAATCCCTCCAGCCTGTACTTCTCGCAGTCAGATGCCGATCTGCTCAGCGAGCCCAAGCCGGAGGAGGTTCCGGTGGCGTCCAAGTCGAGTGCCAAGTGCCTGCAGGACAGCATGATGCGGCACATAACCCGCGAACTGACCCCCAGCATCTCGGAGTTGTACCACGAACGTAACCTGGGCCTGGGACTGGCACCGCCGCTGTCGAAGCTGCTGCTGAGTCCGAACTATGAGGAGCAGGAGGTGGTCAGCCTGGGTGAGGGCTGTCCGCAGTCCGGATCTGGCCTCAAAACCCTGGTGGATGCTGTCAATGAATTGGAGCTGAGCGGCAGCTCTTCCGGCGCCACCATGCCCACTGTTGTGGGCGGCGGAGGCAATGAGGTGGAAGGATCCTCTGCACCCGCCGCGGAAGACACCTGCCCCATTTGCGGGGAGCACGCAGATGTCATATGCCGTTGCAAGGCTGCCACCATCCAGAAGAAGAGCATCCTCAAGCCCTGGCTGAGCAATGTGCCGGCCAGCAGCCTGGTGCAAGCCAGCGAGCTGACCACGGCGGATATTCTGGAGCGACGCCTGGAAATCCACAGTGCCAACTCTACGGGAGCTCCCCCCTTTGCGGTGGATCTGTGCCGGCGCGATGAGGGGGACGGACGATCTGTTGCGGATTCGCAGTGTAGCAGCAACTACAAGCGGGTGCTGGCCAGCGCCACTGGGGGAGGAGCAGTCAGTCTGGTGGGGATTGGAAGCGAAGCGGAGCCACAAAGCGCCCCTTCGGCGGCCACTTGCTCAGCCGCCCGGCTGGTCTAGACCTTAGACCTTATATTTTAAATAATTTATTTGTGCACTTATTTATTATCATTGAACGCATATTTTATGGATAGTTTATGGTCGTAGTCAAGCCACTGATTAAAATGTATTTCATTATTAAAACAAGTCTGTAATTTAAGGTCACCCTAAGCTAATAGATATTGTATTTTATTATGACGTAGCGAAAATAAACTGTTGTACTGTAATATATTTGAAAAAACTCTAGTTGTTTTTAATTAAGGAACTAAAGCTCTAGGAAATTTCATTATCTCAAAAAGGGCTTTCACTAAGAGTTTACTAAATTCCGGTTGTCCTTTTCCCTATTAAGAGGGGGGTATAATTAATTCGGTACAAAACGAGTTACTTTTCAAAACCATTATTTGGCGAAACGGCTATTTGTAGCTCATTAAGGGGGTCTTCTCATTGGGCAACTTTTTTTTTCGATTTTTTTTTTTTTCATTTATTTATATCTTGGGATGGTGTGTATATGTCCCCAAAAGGATTTTTAGAAATTCGAAATACTTTAGAAGATACAGCCTTTTTTGTGAAGCAAGATCAATGCAAAATGAGCTTTTTTCAAACTTCAAACGCGTTTATCTCGAAACCACGTTTTTCGAACTGGCGGCCATGATATCTCCAGTTCAACTGAACCGATTTTCATGAAATAAAGTGGAATCGACGCAGAATTGTCACCATTTTCGGCTGACGGTACAGATTTTTTTTTAAATTTTTTTTTCTATTTTTTTTTTTACACTAAACTACAAAAAAAACGCCCGAAATCGAATTTTTTTTTTTTTGAATGGCCGCCATTTTGTTTTAAAAATTTTTTTAAAAAATCTGTTCCGTCAGCCGAAAATGACATCTATTCTGATTATAACCCCGTTTTTATTTTTCATTTCGGACGCTCTGGCGACCCTGAATCGTGGCCGCCAGGACGACACCTTTTTTTCGACCACCAAGTTTGAAGTCTCATTACTCTTTGAACAACCCTCGTATCGAGGCAAGAACAACTTTTTTAGTTACTTTGAACATTTTTGAATACAATAAATAAAAAAAGTTTTCAATTATTCTTTGCGTTTTCAAATAAGAATTTTTTTAAAAAGGGTCCAAAAAACGGCTTTTGAATGAGAAGACCCCCTTAAATTAAATACCATATATTAGCACAATATTTAAAAAATTTTATATTAAATTTGTCATTGAAAAATATTTAGAGGTAAATATAAAAGGTTATAAGGAATCTATCAAGTGCCCTCCAAAAAAAGTTAGTTTGCGGTGTACATCCAAATTGTCATCCTATATCAAAAACAAAATTGGATTGTTTTATTGGAAGTTGAACTGAAAGAATATACAAGCTCTGCTTTTATAATGCAAAATACCCAGTAAAAAAAGCCTAATTCGAACTTTAAAAATCTTTTTAAATAATTCATGTATATTATCTGCATCTCCTTAAATTACCGTTGCGTTCTGTTATGTCCATACAATTTGTTTTAATTACGACTACGCTTTTTTTGAACTGTCGAAATATTGTTGAGTTGAGTTAAGCTTCCTGTGTGGATCTGGAGAGTTTAGCTGTTTGTTTCTGGGCCTTGGTTGCGCTCCGGAATACACATGGGTAAATAAAGTTGTTCTGGGATTTTGGTAACTAATGTAACTAATTTTATTTTTGTTTTACTTAGTTTTTACAGGTTTCAATAATTTATCTTTTGTGTGTTGCCATCATCGAGTTGTGTATGATTTCTTTTTTTGTTGTTTTCTTATTTTTTTATAATTTATTTAGTAATATAGCTGCAATAATATAGCTGCATTTGTGTGTGTTTTTGTTGTATATATATATAAATATGTATGGATCTTTACTTTACACAATCTTAAATGTTAACTACGCAAAATCTGTGTTGCTTTTGTATTTTATTTTTTGTTTTCTGTTCATTTTTGTCGTTTGTGTGCCATTGAATATGCGCTTGCAAGACTCCTACAATAAGGTTTTATAAGTAATATATATAGCTACAATATATTTATATCAATGTGTATATTCAAAATGTGAAATAAAAAACGGTATTTAAAAATATGTTTCCCTTTGTTTTGCTCCTTCTCTGCACTCCCTCGTTCCTTTGTTGACCTTATATTTAATATAAACCGCTTTAAATATATATTTTATGCATGCTTTTGCGTATAATAAATTGTATATAAATTACTAATGTATAAATTAAGCACTCGAATTGCGGCTGCTTCAAATGCAGGCATCATGACACACCTATTTAGATTGCTGTGCTTGTGTGGGCCTGGGGAGCAGCGTCCAATCTTTCCACTTAATACCCATTGTTTCGTTATTTATTATGCACTTTTTACAAACTTCCGACGACAATAATACTCTAGTCATAATAGCAAATAATAAGTTAATGAGTAGCAATTATTTAGTGGGTAAGCAAGGCTCGCTAGGCTAACACAAACGGAAGCAAAATCTAGGCATTGGCGTGTTTTGTTTTCTTTTTTTGCTTTTTTTTTTATTTTAGCTAAAAGGTCGAAGGTCAAGCAGCAAGCGTATGTTAAACCGTACATTTAAATAGTTCAATTGTGGCTGGAAGTACATTAAAATTAAAACACATGCTTAACTATGGGTAGAGGAGTGTCAAAATGAAAGAAAACTCCGAATCCGTTTGTACAATACACTCGAATATATATATATATAGATGTATGAACGCTCTTTGCCTATGTATCCTTAATCCTTTTCCTACACTAAGTTATGTACCTTGCCTCCTGCACAGCAAGTGCGGGTGAGAGTTTGTGTGTTTTGGTTTTGCTTTTGCCTTGGCTCAGTTATCCTCGTGTCTTCCAAATCAATTGATTTTTTATAGCTTAGTGGCTAGTTCTTTACCAAGTGCAGCACACACACTAGTATCTATGTATATGCAGTTTGAAAACCTCAATAAAAATTTGTGTGTGCCAAGTTGTTTTGTCTGTTTTTTGTTCCTTTGCCTTTATCGGTTTCCTAAGTCTAGACCGTATTCAACATCATCTTCCTACCTTCCCGCTCGTCTCGCTTAGGTTTTTAGGAGTTTAACACTATACACTATGAAGAGGATACTTAAAAGATATTGCGACCATCGTGTCCTGTTTTGTTTAGTTTAGTTTCTTGTAGTTGGTTTCTGCTTTTTGATCCTGTATGCCTTGGTCAGTAGGTGAGTGTGTCCACTCCCGGGATTAACGCAGCTGGTTCCTGTGACACAAAAGCGCAGATATTAGTCTAGGCACACCGATCATTTCAAGGAGACATTCACAACAAGGATGAGTTCAAGCATAAGGATGAGTTAAATAACAAAACAAATTACTAACTTTTTACATAAAAACTTGACAAGGCGTTGCGCAACTTAGAGTCGCTTGGTTTCTGGATTTGATTCTCGAGCCATGCGCTGGCGTCGTCTCTGCTGATGATGATGTTGATGGTGTTTGGATGTGTGTGTGTGTGGAAAACAAAATGTAAACGCTTGAACACAAAAATCACACAAAGCATTTCCTCACGGCCACGGCCCGAGTATTGTCTTTGTTCAGTTGCTTGCTCTCTACCATTGCCGCCTGGCGTCCACTTATCTGGGCCGTTGTCTGTGGGGATGAGAGAGAGCGGGGCGATGATCAAACGGAAACGGAAACAGGAGCAGGAACATAAACAAAAATGCAACCGAAACAGACGCGAAGACAGTGATAAATACAAAAAATGTATATACATGAGATGAATGAGCTTAGCTTAAGTTTTAAGTTGATCTATCAGGACCCAGAGCTCGTAAATAACAACTAAAACGTTTAATTAAATAGTTTTTCGATGTTTGTTTCTTATTTTTTAAGAACAATTTGTTCATCGCTTAAAAAACAAAAATTAAATTAAAAATAAAATCCAATGTTCTTTGAGCAAAAGAAAACTAATCTATGAGATCACACAGTAGGGCGAGATTAAGAATCGCACTCATTACCATATGGAAAATATCGTAAAGAATATAGAAATTGAAAGAATTGAAAAATATATCCAAAAAAGTTCTAGAATGATTTGTCTCTTTTGTTCCAATATATAAAACACAATATCGATTAATAGCAACGTTAGGATGTCTATTTCGTAGAGCTGGAAATAAAATGTATCCTATAATCGATTAATTTTTTTTCAAATATGATACAGATGTGATCTTTTAATAATCCGAAATTTGGAAATTTTCTTTTATAATTTCATATTTCCGATGCCATATAAAAGGTGAAAAACAAAAAAAAAGCAATTATTTAGTTATTATTTAAAATTTAAATATAAATATCGATAGATAAAATGTGTAGAACAATACAATTTATGAATATAAATATATAATTTAAATTATTTCAATTTTCGATTGTACTCGATTTATTCTTATATTTATTTATTTGAAAGAAAACGATTCACTGAAAATGTATATATTTCCAGATCTACAATTTAGCTAAAAATATCGAAACAGTATTGATATTTCCGATTATTTCGATAATTTCTACTCAAAAACTAATAAACGTCAAGTATTTTTGAAAAAGAAAAATAAAAAAAATCAACCGTTTTCTTCGAGCTCTGGTTTTCTGTTATGGGGTTTTCAAACATTTGCTTCACTTAAAACAGCCGAATGATTATCATTCCATTTAATTTAAAATCTTCGCTCCAATTTTTGCAGAAACTACCTATCACTTCCTTTTTAAACCCCATTTCCCAAAACCCAACAAGACTCACCTGAAGTACTGATCATGCAGGGACTGTCGCTGGAACTCGGCGGCCTGTAAATACTGTATATATGTAATTAATGAGTTAGGAGGCGGGTCGGGGAATTGGGAAACCTGTAGTTGATCGGCATAGGACATGCGCAGCAGGACATCCGAGTGCGGCTCCCTAGGTATAAGCATATTTGGCCGCGGATACTGGCCAACATTCGCTGAAATGCGGAAAGGAAGAGACACCAAAAAGGCGGATCAGTTATATTTTTAATGTCCGGATAGGAGGGGGGGGAGACGCGCTGGGCGCAAAACCTCGAAGGGCTATACAAACTCACGTGGCAGTTGGAAACCGGCCTCCGGTGGTTGCGGCTGTGGATGCAAAGGCAAATGTAAATGAGTATGAGAGTGTGCATGATATTCTCTCGTCAATCGTATCTGAAATTATTATCGGAATATCGTAGAAAGTTTTCAAAAGAGCCAAGTAGTGCTGCATGGGCGTGGACGCCAATAGAAGGTAACAGAGTGCTAATGTAACGATGCGTAATGCGGGTTAGATGGCGACAAATGTCGATTCGATTCGATTTGATTTGATTTGGTTAGGTGCCCCGTCGAGGTGGGCGAAAGCATGGCATGGCATGGCATGGCAGGGCAAGTAATGGTTAGCGCACACAACATGAACAGTATGACGGGGCACGTGCTGGGTGGCTTCTTTTTGTTATGTGTGAGTGGGACTGGACTGGTTAACAGGTGACAAGCTGACAGAGTGGACATAGTGATTGGTTCGATCGCTTGACGTTCCAAATACGATTGATTTTGTGAATATGAGTCGAGTGGAGAGTAAAAAAGAAGTGTAGCCTACCATACGCACCATGTGCTCGCCCGGGTCTAAGCCGACATGGTGCGGCGGCGGAATTCCCAGGCGCTCCCTCTCCATCTGCGATATCGCCGGATTCGCATACAGCGGGAACTGCGACGGGTGGATGCCGCTGTCGAGAGATAAGCGAAAAAAAAAATAAAATTATTCATTTTTCAATCTATAATTAGCCGGAAAACTTTAACAAACCGTCGGTAGTACTCCATCCAGTGCGGATCAAGTCGGGACTGACTCGCCGCAGCGGCTTGTGCGTTCTTGATCTCCTCCAGTTCCCTGCAAGTAGTCCGAAGAAATTTAGGATCAATGGACACCAGGTGGTGGGGACATTAATATAGGGAAGCAAGGGCTTGGGTAGGTGAAATTGGCCAATGATAACTAAAAGCTTTAATTTTGACGTGCGCATAAGAAATATATTCCGAATTGGGTTAAAAAGCTGGCGAGGATTAAGCGGGAAGAATGTCAGTGGCTCGTGGTTGCATGGGTGAACAGGGTGATGGACACAAACAAAGTGCTTTTCGGGGTCATTTTTATGGCCTTGAATCGCACTGCATGTAAACTCAAAGGATGTGAGAATGGAGAAGGAATCGGCTGGTGAATGGAATATGGATGAGATGTGAGCGGGATTTTGGTTCAGATTAGATGATATGAAAGGACTCTCGCAGTGAGATGAGGGCTTGGGCTTAGTACTGTACCTCTCTCTGTACATGGGGCCCATTGGATGATGATATGGCACCATCTGTTCAACAGGACTGAAATTGAATTGAAATAATTACAATTAACAAACGCGACTCAACAAGGAAAGCAAAAAAAAAAAACACGACGGAAGACAACGGAACACACGAAGACGAAGATCCTAGACAACGAACGGAAAACTCGAAGCTCAAAGTGAGCGACTCCTACTCCTCGGACACTCACCTGAAGGCGACGTGGGGACGAGCGTACTCCGACAGTTGGCGCAGGGCCGGCGTATCGGCATATGGAGGCTTCAGCTCCGCCTTCATCTTGGCCTGCTGCGCTGCCTGCTGAGCGGCGGCCGCTTGCTGCTGTTGCTGCTGCTGTTGTTGCTGCTGCTGCTGCTGTGTGGGATGCACAAGGGAAATCAGTTTAGCTGGAGGCTTATGGCGAGATGGCATCTTTACTAACCTGACGCCGCTCGCGCTCCTTCTCGGCCAGCTTCCGGTCGCGTTCCTCGCGCTTGCGGGCTAGCTTCGAGTCGGCCACCGGCTTGAAGATCAGATCCGTTCTCGTGCACGAATTGTAATCCCCCCGATCGATGTGCCGCACAAATCTGTAAATAAGTAAGTAGTCCATTAGGTTTCGTTCTTTTCGGGTCATTAATGCCACGTACATGGCAGACTGGGAGCGATGGCATTCGGTGTCGTCCGGCTTCGCCTCGGGACTGGGTCCGCGTGGTATGTTATGCGTGGGACTGGGTATCTCTGGTTCCGGATCCGGCTCTATATCAATGGGCACTGACCGGGAATAAATATAAGAAAAGGTTAATAGAGGTCTTAGTGTCTGTCCAGCAGAGCATTCAGCTTACGTGGCTCCGTTGGATGATGCCCGCCGCCCAGGCCCGACGAATTGGCCGAGTGGGCATGCGCTCGCAGGGCATCCATGTGCGAAGTTGGCTTCATGCCGTGCGGCTGGCCATCCTGCGGCGCAAAGGGCGATCCATGGGGCGGTCCTGGCGGATAGCCCGGCATGTGGCTGCCCGGATAGGCGCCTGGCGGCAGTCCCGTCGGTGTTCCCGGGCCGCCCATTCCAGTCGGCATCCCGCCGCCAGGTCCCTGTGGCGTCTTTGGCGTCGGCGGCTTGTTGGGCTGCATTCCGCCCTGCTGCTGTTGCTGCTGCGGCGCCTTCAGCTGCTGGGCTGCTGCAGCCGCGGCGGCGGCGGCGTGCTGCTTCTCGGCAGAATGAGCTGCTGCTGCTGCAGCAGCGGCTGCCGCATTCTGCTCATCCTGGCGCACCTGTTGCGGCGGCGGACCCTGCAGGCCGGCATGATGGGCGGCCATCACTGCGGCCGGATCCAGGGGTCCAGCCGGCGGCGGCGGCTTCATGTAGGCCGGGAAACCGGGACCGTACGGGGCATAGCCATACGGCGAGTTGAAGGGGTGGTGGTGCGGCGAGTAGAACACCGAGGGATGCAGGAGCGGGTGCGGATACGGAGACTGACCCGGATGCACTCCGATCTGCGGAATACCGCCGCCAGGCGCTATCAGCGGCAGCGGAAGAGGCATCTGCGGGTGACGAATGACGGGCGGCGAGGCGCCTGGCCGCAAGTGCGGCGGCGGCGACGTGCCCAGACCCCTCTGGCCCGGCTGTGGCGCGTACATCTTGCTCAGCGGACTGGCCATCAGGGAGGCGTTGGATACCGGCGGCGGCGTCATGTGCGGCGATTGCTGCCGCAGCAACGCGTGCCGATCCCTCTCCGCCACGGCAGCCGCCGCTGCGGACAGCGCGGAGGACGAGGGATGATGGCTGAGCGGAGACTGGGGCACCGGATGCAATGGACTCTGCCGGCTCAGGCTGCCCACACTGGACGCAGGTGACGCCGCGCGATGAGCAGCTGCCGCTGCTGCTGCTGCAGCCGCTGCCGAGGAATTCTGCATTCCTCCAGGTCCACCGCTGCCAGGACCAGACGGAGCGCCGCCGCCGCTGCCGGAGATCTGCACGCTGGGACTGGCGCGACTGAAGGCAGACGAGGGCACCGTGCTGGTGGTCAGGGACACGCTGGTGGGCGCCATGCTGGCGGCCACCGAATGCGGCGTCACCGGGCCCGAGGAGGCGTGTGAATGTGGCAGGTGCGAGGGCGGGGTGCGACGACTCAGGGCGGACTCCGGAATACCTCCGAGGCCGCCGGGTCCGGCCAGCAAGGCAATGGGTCCACCGCCAGGTCCAAGGCCGGCTATCGAGTGTGACAGCAGGTGGTGACCCGGATGAGCCAGCGCCGCGTGGGCCGGATGACCCGGCGGCAGGTGGGCCAGGTGCGGGTGTATCGGCATCGGGTGCCCGATCAGCCCCGGCGGCGGTGGCCCGTTGCCCGAGAGTCCCGGCAGTGGCGACGTCCGATGCGCATGCGGAGACTGTTGCGGCGGCGGTCCCCCAGGAGCCGAACTCGATCCCGCCATCGTGGTTGAGGGCTGGGAGTTGGGCGGCTCCCGCGACGACTGCGGGTCGTGCAGGGATCGTGGCGGCTGCTGCTGGGCAGGCGAGGGAGTACGCACGGTGCCGGCCGGTCCGCCCGGCGGCTGTTGTTGCTGCTGCTGCTGCTGTTGGGAGGCATGCGAGGGCGGCATGCCGTGACCGTGCTGTGGATGCCCCTGTAGCGACAGCGGCATGGGCGCATGCGGATGCATGCTGGGCGGCAGGTCGTGCGGCCGGTGCAGACCCTGCAGGTGCGCGTGCGGGTGCAGGTGGGGGTGCATATGCGAGGGCGCCATAGTCGACAGCGTGGGTGGAATCCCAATGGAGCTGGGCGGCAGCGACGAGGCGACCGAGAGCTGCGGATGCTGCTGACTCGGATGCAGGCCGTGCTGCAAGCTCGGCGGACCTGGGCCCGGGGCCGTCGGAGTTGGCTGGTGCAGCGACGTGGGCGGCGGCGGAGGGCCGCCTGCCGAGCCAGGAGGCGGGCCGTGGATGAGATTTTGCGGATGCATCCCGGGCGGCAGGCCAGCTGGCGAAGGCATGTGCGGCGAGGGGTGCGGCGACTGGAACTGCTGCGGCTGCGGCGGCATCGAAGGCGGCTGCGAGTTGCTGTTGCTACCTTGGCTGTCCTGGCCGGGCGTGGAGCGGGCCGAGGCGTCGATGGGACTCTCTGGCGGCGGTCCGTACTGCGAGGACTTGATGAGGTTCTCGCCGCCGTACGGTTTCACGTCCGAGGGTCCCTGGGCCTGCGAGACCGGCGGCATCGGCGGGTACTTCAGATCCTGCGGCGGACCGTACTTGGCCGAGAGCGGGTCGCTGTACTTGAGCATCAGGCCCGAGGGCTCGAAGGGCCGTCCCAGCGGCGGCGTCTGCACTTCGTGTTGGTAGTGCGGCTTGGGCATGGCGATGCCAGGCGGTGGCGTCGCTCCCGGCGGCACCTGGTGCGCGGAGGGCTGGGGCGGTTGCTGCGACTCCTGGGAAGTGGGCGGCGGACCGTACTTGTGCGCGACGTCCAGCGGCGAGCCCACGTTGTGCGGCAGGTGACCAAAGCCGGGCTTCACGTCCGGTATCTTCAGCGAGTCCTGGTAGCCCGGTTTGCCCTGTGCCTGGTGGGCAGCCGACAGCTCCACGGGGTACTTGCCGGGTTGCTCCATCATGTACTTCATTTCGTATTTGCCGGCAGCCGCTGCTGCTGCTGCCGCCGCCGCCGCCTGCATTTCCTGGCTGTACTTGAGCGCATCGAGGGGCGGCGGTGGCGGATACTTGAGATCCTGGGGAGTAAACTTCAGCTCCATGTCCGGCGCATACTTTTGCGGCGTTGTTGGCGCCCCTGGAGGAGCTCCGCCGCCTGGTCCCGCCGCATCGCTATGCAGCTGCGGAGGCTGTGAAGGCGGTCCGCCCTGTCCCGGAGGCCCGTACTTCAGCTGGCCATCGATTAGGTAGCCGGCAGGCGGCTGCGGTGGCACCGGGCCATGGGGCAGGTGCTGCAGATGCAGCGGCTCCTGCTGACCGCTCTCCACTGGTGCCCCGGACAGCGGGTGCAGGGCCGAGGGCGGGATACCTCCGGGACCCGATGGTGGCATACCTGCGGAGCTGTGCTTCAGCGCATCCTCGTTCTTGATCTCGATCTTCACCTTCAGGTCCTGCGGTTCGTTGCTGTTCTGATTGCAGGTGGCGTCCATCGAGTCCTCCAACGGCTCTTTCTTGATGTAGACGCTTTCTGAAGGCGGACACACTGGAGGAGGCTGGATGCCGACCGGCGCAAGTTGTTGCTGCATCTGCTGGGATTGCTGCTGCAGGTGCTGCTGCTGCTGGTGCTGCGGAGAAGCTTCCTGCTTGATGGTGGCCAGCTTCTTGAGCATCTCCGGATCACTGTCGCACGCCGTCTCCATCTTTTCAATGGCCTCCTTGCGGTCCACGGACGCATTCAGAGCCTCCACGGTGGCGATGGTAGGCACCTTCATGGTAATCGGCGGCGCCACAGGATTGGAAACCACATTGGGATTTGGTCCGTCCGTGGAACTCGTCTCCACACTGCTCGGCGCCTGGATGTTCGTCTCCTCATCCATGTTCTTGATGGCGCTGTCCTTGCTGTCCTCCGCCAAGGCTTCCGCCTTGATGGCCTTCTCCTCGGCCTTGGCCTCCAGGTCGTTGGTGACCATGTCGCGCTCCTCCTTGCAGCTGACCGTCGTCTCCTTGCTGTCCTTGGTGGACTGCTGCTCGGCGGTGGTGGTGTCCGTCGTGTTGGACTCCCCGTCGTCGAGCACGGAGTCCGGCCGGCTGTCCGAGTTCATGCTCTCCACCGGACTGTCCGGCCGCTTGCGCTTGTCCTTGACCACGGCACTCGCACTCTCCTCTTGAGCGCTCGGCTCGCTGGGCTCCTGCTCCGTGCGCTTCTTCTTGTTGGGCGTGTCCTGCTTGCCACCCTTGCGCTTGGTGGCCGAACTCTCGGCCACGGCCTTTGTGGGCGTCTTGGGGCTATCGACAGAGGCGGCTCCTCCGCCGGAGGCGTCCGGCGTCTCGGAGCCGCGCTTGGGCCGCTTGCCATTAGCCACGGCGTTGGCCGACGACTGGTCCTTGGAAGAGCTGTTGCCGCCAGCGGCACCGCCGCCACCGGTTGAACCTGTGCCCACGGAGGCGGCTGAACCGCCGCCACTGCCGTTTCCGGCTGCGTTGTTGTTGCTGCTGGTGGTGCTGCTGTTGTTGTTCTGTTGCTTGTTTCGCGTCCTCATCCTTGAGGGTGATTCATCCCTTTTGTGGGTCAGACTCGAATCACTGTCGCACTCGCTGGCGTCGTCCTCGGTGAGCGAGCTGTTCTCCTCCTTGGAGACAGCGGGCGAGGAGCGACTCGCCGTCTCGGACGCCGCGGTCGCCGCCGCCGTCGCCGTCGTCGCAGTTTGTGGTTCCGGCGTGTCCTCCTTCTTGGGAGGTGTATTGCTATTGCTGTTGTTCGCCCGCGTGACACGGTTGCGGCGCAGGGCGCTCTGTCGACGCCGCCGGTGCGGCCGGTTGTTGTTCGCGCCGGGCGTCTTCTTCCACAGATAGTAGAACTCGACCAGCTCCGGCGTGTCCTTGTGCGGCAGCAGGTCCTTGTGGATGCGGAAGAAGTTCTTGCCGAATTGTCGCAGACCCTTGATGAACTTTTTCGTTTCGTCCTCGGTCCACTTCTTGTCGATGCCCTTCGAAACGGGGCACTTTACGAGTGCTTGTAGAGCTTTGCCTGGATCGTAGCCAGAATCGTGGAGCTGCATTGGAAGAGGGATTAAATGGGATTCAGTCCGTGTATCAGGCAGGGATACTCACCACGTCGAGTGCGTTTATTGTGGTGTCGTCGCGACTGGCAGCCAAACAACCGTCTTCTAGTCCGCCATCACACATTCCTTGAAATGCAGCCATGGAGCGAGCCGCACGCAAGAACATTAACAAATCGCCATCGGCCACAACGCCTGGACTCCATCTTGATTCCTCTAGTTCACGTTCATCGGTTTCCTTGTCGATGGGGAAGCTTGAGATTGGATTATAATCGGGCAGTTTTGCCTTCAGTCGTCATAGGAGACAAACGAGAAGTTTTGGGATTAGTTCAAAAACTCCAGGAGAACGATTGATGGGTTAGTCATACAACCACACCTCACCACACCACATCATACACACGCACTACACACACCACAGGCAAGACAGCTGGTGTTGGAAATCCGGGGGGATTCCCACCACCCACGAGATGATAGTACACAAACTTAGGGCTAATGCATGATTATGGATGAATAATGTATATAATGTGTGCTACGGATTTCCTCGAACGGATGTCGTTGGGACACGGGGACACGGGAAGACGGAACTTGGGAAAGGTCAGTTGGGATCTGTTGGGTCAACTTCTACGCGTCGAGGATTCAGAACTAGTAATAGCCAATTGCATAAACGCTAGAACTACAAATTATTTACAGGGTTTAGGCGTTATTTACAAGGATAACACAGGACGACAGCTTTTCAGAACCAAAACCAGGAATATACATTTCCGATAGTTGTTGATGCCCTGATCAAATCTATTCTCAGAAAATTTCCTAGAAATCAGGTTTATAAACTATTTAAAAATACGGGTTTAAGGTATAAATACCCAAAAACCATATTTTTGTCACTTTTAAGATGGAATATCTCAAAAACCGAAAATATAAGAAATTTTTGAAGATTAGATTTGTGTTTAGCTCATCAAAATCTTTTGGAAAATAACATTCTGGTTTATTAAATATTGTCGCCTGTGTAATTGAAGAGGTTATATGGTTTTAGGAGCAACCAAATTAATGAAAGAAGTGCATATTGCAGTAGCCTTATTGAAAACGGAGAAAACGGAATTTATTAAAATATAATTAAAATGAGTTAGGGTTGCATAATTAACAGAATCTATGAATTCATAACAAAAAAAAAGGGTAGAAAAAATAAATATTAAAATCATTAACTAATTTTTTAAATATTTATTATTTCCATCAAGTCAGAGACTGAAAATTTTCTTGAAAAAAAAATAAACATTTTCCGCTTTGAATCGAAAACGGAAACTGGGGCACATTAAGTTCTTTAATTACTCGCGTTTCCCGTTCCTTCTAAGGCTACAAACAAAGCAATCAGCGAAAGATTTTGTTGAAGACATTCAAAGAGGAGGAACAAAAGGAATATAAATTACAACTTTTGCAATAAACAAAAGAAATAAGGGTTATATTTTGGTTTCGTTTTGCATAATTGTTAAATTTTGTAGTTCTTTGTTTTATTTTTTAAATCTTTTTGTTACCGTGAGCTGAATTTCTGATTTGTGAGAGTTATGTACGTACATAGACATCGTTTACCTGGTGGCCGGGACCCACTCGAATTTCTCCTTGAGTGGAGGCCGCCATCACCCTTTAAAAACACGCTTCCGGTCCAGTGTTAAGCCTTTTTATGCCCTCTACGATATGAAAATTCAACTGCAAATAGATCCAAGCACACAGAGAAAATTCGTTAAACAAAAAATGATTTCAGCCACATCAGGGGCAGGGATAAAATCATCAACGGAGGGGAGAGCGGGGCCAAAAGCATTTTCAATAAAGCGATGAAGTTCATATCAACATGCATAAATAAATAATCCATAAAAATAATGCCATGTAATGTGCGAACGATGGAGTAGCGCGATGAGTGGAGGGATGTGACGTGGACGTGGACGGGGCTATGGACATGGACTATGGGTAGGGGAAGGGGGACACGGCTGATGGGCTCTGGAAATTAGGGGTTTACGCTGTCGGACGATTGAGTCTCTCCGCCACTTAATCGCCTGCATATGTTAATGCGCCCGCCACGTACAGGCCCCGAAGGGATCCTGAGGATTGGACTGTGCGACTGACAGACGGATGGTTTTGCTTTCGGTTCGGCTTGCCTTCACTGGTCATTCATTATGCCCTTTCTTTTAGGAGTTGTTAAAGTTTTGTTTGAAGGTTTTAAGTCTCAATAATTATGTATACCTATTTATTCAGTCGCTTTGACTTCTTTTTATTTATATCAGATATTTGCTATGTTTAAGGGGTTATATACAGTTGTGATGATAAAAAAAATCGACTTTTTTTTATTGCATATTCTTCAAGTATATACTATTGAGAATACTCTCACAAAAATTCATAAAGATCGGAGCTTTAGAACCGAAGTTGTAGCTATTTATAGCGCACGACCTGCACGTCGGCCGGAACAAACTTGAAACTTTAAACGCGATTATCTCAGAATCGTTTTTTTTCGAAGTTACCTTTGCGGTGGACACGATAACTAAAAAACTATTAATCCGATCAACACCAAATTTTGACCACTTATTTTTTATAACAATAGCTAGTCCTCTAACGAAGAATTTTTTATTTTTTTTTTTTTAACTTTTTTTTTTAGAGCATAAAAATCAAAAATCCTATACCTTGAAAAAGTAAATTTTTTGTTAAAACCGTCGCCATTTTTTTTTAAATCAAAATTTTTACAAATCCATGGTCTAGAGGACTAGGCAATACAATATACTAACGAAATTTTTTTGAATTGTTGATTTCGGATGAACCGTTCTCGGGATATGATGTCCACCGCAAGTCACCATCGAAAAAAACACGATCTTGGAATTCGGCCATAACATTTTTAATATTTAATATTTTTTTATGAAAAAATTTTATAAAGTACCTAGAAACATGTACTAAACAACGTCGGCAAAACATTTTTGATAAATATTTTTTATGATGTCAAAAAAAAATCGACAAAATTGCATTTTTTTGCGCGGTACAACTGTATATAACCCCTTAAGAAATTTGTTTTTTAGATACCTATATGCTATGACTTAAGAAAACAATAGTGATTATTGCTTTAATGTTGAACAAAAACCTATGTTTCAGCTTGTATTTGACCTTCTCTATCCGGCTTCCATGCTATGCCTTGTTTAATGCTTAAAAAAGTAAATGTTAAAGCTTTGCGTTGCATTTGAAATTATAATAGGAATTTGGTTTGAACCCTAATTTTGATATACATATGTAAATATGACTCATAGGGCATTCCCATCTTCGGTTACCCATGAAGCTTTCTCGTCTGGGTTTTTAACTCAATTTTTTCCGGCCATCGCTGGCTGTCTGGTTTTTTGTTTCTTCGCCTTGTCTGGCGCTGCCTCTCGAGTGTGCGTGCAGCTGTAAACAGATTTTCCGCTCAAGTAAGTCCGCGAATAACTGTAACGAGGCGGCTAAGTAAGCCTCCGTCACTCCCATTTCCATTCCCATTCCCATTGCCAGCACCCAACATTCAGCCCCCAAGCCAGCAAGAGGAATTATCATTAAATTTGCTTATGAATCAATATCATTGCCAATGCACAATGACAGGCAAACCGATGGACAGCGGACAGACGGACACAGTGCGTTGCCTGCCTGCCTGCCGCCTCATCAGGAATGCCGGCGGTGCTGCGGTTGTGTGGCAGCGGCACACAAATTATGGCAATTAAAATCAATTAATTAAATGCAGCGACAGCTACGGGAGCGACGACGACGACGGCTGCCCGACTCTCATCGGATCTGCACAGGCAGGCGAAAAAAGGCAACAACAAAAAAGTAAGCGAAGATATATATACACCGTATATAGCAGTGTATGTGCGCATTGTCGACAGATTTACACTCAATAAGGCACGACACGCCGCCTAAATGACTGACGACAACGGCGAACGGGCGCAGGGGGTTTCCACACAACGATCCCGGAGGAGATGGCAGCCGACGAGGGAGTGGAGTGGAGGACCTGGACCTGGACCTGGTCCCGGGGTTGCACCGTGGTCACAGCAATTTGGTAATCCCCGAGCGCACCGACACACAAATGAAATATTCATGACCGCCAAGGGGGAGGAATACGACGAGCATATTCGGCTTCTGCAGGCTTTTGTTTGACTGTCAGGCAGCGCAAAAGCGGAATATGCCAATGAATGTTTACCTATGAATAATTGTTTACCCAGCGTAAAAGCCGAGATATCAATGGATTGCTTTTCGGTATCAGCAATGTTCTACTTGTTTAGGGTCTTAGGAACCGAGAGCCCTTTCTAGACACTTTTTTACAAAGAAACCTAAGGGTTTATTTTATTATAACTTTTAAATGAGCTCTTAATGATTTCATAAGCTCAGGAAGCTTTTAAATAGTATCCTTATTTGTATAGGAATTATTATTTAGATCATTTTCATGCATGTCTCTACTATTCCTACAAGTTATGTTATATATCGTGTTGAAATTGTGCTGTTAGGCACAAACTTCTTGTAATAAAGAGGTGTGGAGCTCATAACCCTTGAGTTTCCTGGTACCTGGCACCACTGTACAGCCAACGGTCTGCGTTTGGGGCCAACACTTATCAACGACATCAGCAGCAACACCATGCCATAGCCATACCACACCACGCCAGCAGACAGCACACCATTTCGTACCACTCCGCAGCAGACCAGGTTACTTGCTTTGGCTTTGGCTATAGCTTGGCCTGGCCCTGTTGGCCTGGTTGGGCTTTGACTGCTTGGCTGGTTGGTTTAACTGGCAGCAAACTTTTTTATGGGGGAGTCGTGAGTGGAAAAATTTCATATAAACACACACAAGGTGGCGGTGGCCACCAGGGCGCAGGGCACGCGACCGAATGTATCCCCCGGATCCCCACATGCCGAGCACTGTCGGTGGGCTGATACACGGTAAGAAAGCCATCTTCTAGCTGACACCTAACAAATGCATCTATTAACAAGTCTTAAATGGCAAAAAATGATTTTAAAATGCTTTATATTCTTTTTAAATGAACAGTTTGGGTAATAGGAAAGCCCAGAATTCTTGCAATTTGCTAAAACAAAGGTTCTAAAGCATTCTCCCTTTTAAGTTGCAGTAAATATTTGCTTATAATCAGTTATCTAGTTCTCGATTTCTCTCGGTGCATTCCCTTTTGGGCTGCTGCCGGCTGGCTAGCGCTTGGGGAAAAATTGTGTAATAACTGCTGGCAATGTGCTAAGCTGTTCCTCCCGCTGGCTATATTCTGTGGGCTCTACTCTGCGGCTGCTTTCCGCTTTCCACTGGCAAGCTGGCAAACTGGCGGTGTCGGGGTCTGTTATAAAACAAATGTACTACAAAAAGCGACGTTGTAAACGCACAAAGCCATAAAATCTGAAAAGACAAAACGAAGGGCTCGACGAGCACACACATTTGCCACCACCGAAAAGTGCCCACCGAGTGCTCCCTTTTTCCCCTGGAAAAGACCACAAATTATGGCACAGCCAGTAAAGGAGAGAGAGAGCGCTACAGAGCCGGAAAGAGAGACGACGGCTGAGGTAGAGCCTGTAGCCCGTTGCCTGTACATTGACTACGTGACGTTTTCGAGCACTTGGCTCTCACTCACTCTGAGTCAGCAGTGTCGGCAGCTCCGACTCCGTCTCCGGCTGTGGACATGGCCTCCCCTCTGGCCCATCTGACCCGCGTGCAAATTTAAGGCCAATAATGCTGTCAGCCTCAACTGGCCCGTCCGTCTTCGCTCAATTAATGTCATCGCATATTATAAAGTTACACTGGATTAACAACTTCGGCTCGCTCCCCTCTATCTGTGGCTGAAAATTGTTTTCTAAACAGCCCATAAACATAAACGAAAACAAAGCGAGAAATGTAAATGGAAATAAAAACCAAGGGAAGCCAAGGCAGCACACAGAAAAAAATAATATAATATGTATGCAAGTGAATATTTTTTAATAGAAGATATAGACCTACAATTGAAAACGAAGTGAAATTTTTATATAAGCAAAGTTTTTTTCAACTTAATTTTTAAGCATATTTAAGGTCACTTTCAATATATTTTAAACAAACGTATTAAGATTTACATTGTTTAAACTAAGATAATATTTTATGAATTATTTTTTTAAAGCAACTTTTTAATTTAAAGACTTCTTTGTGTATAAAAATACTAAATATGTACGGCTGTTGTTTTTTCTTTCTGTGTACAACAACCAGCAAGAGCAACAAGACCAACATCGGCCACAGAAAGAGGAAATTCAATAAACAATTTGTAGCATGAGTAGCGGAAAATTGTGTGTACGCACGCGGCTAAACGGACGCGAGTGGCTCCCATCGCTTGCGTGTTGGGAGGGAAAAAATGGGGGAAAATCCGACGAGGTGCCTCTCACTCTCTGCCTCTCTCTTTCTGGCTTTCCCTCCCGCCTGCTCGGCTCACTCTTTTTAGCTTCTGGCGAGTGTAATTTTGAAATGGAAAAGCTGTAGACTGTCGTCGTCGTCGGCTGGCTGGCTGGTTGGCTGTCGGCTACGCGGCTCTCCCGCTTGGCTTTCAGCTTGTTTTTCTCTTTGTAATCATCGCTTGCCAATAAGCTGACTAATTGACTGACAAATAGGCATCAGCACGGGAAGCAACAACTACGACGGCGTTAATAAGAGCGTCAGGCAGACAGACAGACAGACAGACACAACTCAAGCG